GTGTGTGTGTGTGTGTGTGTGTGTGCGTGCGTGCGTGCGTGCGTGTGTGTGTGTGCGTGTATATATAGAAGCTTTTCATCAGTTTCCTTAGTGACTGGCTGTGACTGAGGCTGGCTTCTGCTCTGCAGAAGCACAAACCGCTGAGACAGAAGCAGGTTCTGTTCACGCTACACATTTTAAAGTCGTACTCGCACCAGAAATTTTCACTTTTCCACTAGGAAAAAATGTAAATAATGGCTTCCTAATGATTTTTCACTGGCCAGAAAGTAGATATTTAACATTGGAACGTTTCTTTTCTCTTTGCTTCCTCAACCAGCCCACAAGCACGCGCACTCCAAAACGAGATCTTGAGTTCTGGCCTTACTGTCGTCACAAAGACAGGAAGTGCAGTACCATATATGGACAGCGCAGAGCAACGCCGCTATAGCCCGCACTGCTCTGCTTCTAGAAATGACGGCCAGAAAAGACGTTATTTCAACTTTCATTTTGGAACAACTTGTCGTAGAAAATATAATAATAATGGTCGGTATTTTAAAATATCAAACATTTATCGGACTACGGTCGTTTCAGCTGTCACAAGCATCCAAGTGTTTGCTGGGTTTTAACACCGTTTTCGGTGATAGAAATGTTTTCAGTGCAAATGTGTCAAAGGGAGAGCTCAGCTAGTAAGTTACCTGACTTCCACGCGGAGGACCCGGGTTACAATCTAGATTGGGTTTTCAGATTATTGGGAGTTTTTTTTTCCATGATATTTTCCTTACAGTAATAATAAAAATAATACATTTTATTTGAGTGCGCCTTTCTCAAACCCAAGGTCACCTTACAAAGATAAAAACAAGAAACAACAGAGGTTAGATAGGGCAATAAGAACAAACAAGATACATGAAAATTTGAAACCATTCTACAGTCTAGGTCTAAAGGGAATAAACTTGTTTGAATAAGTAGGTTTTGAAGTGTGCCTTGAATAATGGAAAATAGTCCGTATTTCTAATGGCAGAGGGAAGTGAGTTCCAGAGCCGTGGAGCAGAGCAACTGAAAGCTCTGCTCCCCATGGTGGTAAGGCGAGCTCGAGGTTGAACCAGATGAAGTGCAGATGAGGATCTAAGAGATCGGGAAGTGGTAGCAATAAATTGTAAATTACTTAGATAAAAGTGGAGCCATGTACAGATTTAAATGTAAGTAGTAGGATCTTGTATATGATCCTGGTTTCTATTGGCAACCAGTGTAGGTTTTTAAGAACAGGACTGATGTGATTTCTTGAGGGGGTCCCAGTAACGATGCGTGCTGCAGAGTTCTGGAGAAGCTGGAGTTTATGAAGGGATTTAGTTGGGAGACCAAATAGAAGGGAATTACAGTAGTCGACGCGAGAGGTGATGAGACTATGAACGAGGATTGCAGCAGCATGAGGCGTGAGAAAAGGACGGAGTCTGTCGATATTGCGAAGATGGTAATATGCGACTTGAGTAACATGGTTAATGTGAGATTGGAATGAAAGTGTACCATCTAGTATGACACCAAGACTTTTTACCTGTAAGGATGGGTGAACTGTGGAGTCGTCAATATTGATAGAGAAATTGGGAGAATTTTTTAAAACAGAAGCGGTGCCAATGAGTAGGAGTTCCATTTTATTGCTGTTTAGTTTAAGTAGGTTCTGAGACAGCCAAGATCTAATTTCAGATAAACAGTTAGAGAGGGAGATTGGTGGAAGGGATGCATTTGGATTGGAGGAAATGTACAGCTGGGTGTCATCAGCATAACAGTGAAAATCAATGTTGTATTTGCGGAAAATGTAACCAAGGGGGAGCAAATAGATGATAAATAAAAGAGGGCCTAGAACTGACTCTTGGGGAACTCCTGCAGTAACCGGGGAAGAACTAGAAGAGTGAGATTGAAGTTGAATGAACTGAGTACGATCCGATATGTATGAGGTGAACCAGGCTAGGGATGTGTGACTAATGCCGATAGATGCTAATCTTTTGAGAAGTATGCTGTGAGAAAGGGTGTCAAATGCAGCTCTTCGATCTAGTGAAACCAGAATGGAGAGATGGCCTGAGTCTGCTGCCTTTAGTAGATCATTTGTGATTTTTACTAGTGCTGTCTCTGTGCTGTGTTGTGGTCTGAAACCAGATTGGAATTGTTCATATAGATTATGAGAATTGAGATATGAGTGAAGCTTAGAAGCAACAACTTTTTCAAGGATTTTGGAAATAAATGGTAATTTAGATATTGGACGAAGATTATCAAAGTTGGTGGGATCCGCACCGGGCTTTTTGAGAATCGGAGTAATACAGGCAGTTTTAATGCTGCAGGAACAATTCTGGTACTGAGGGAAGAGTAAATGATGGTGGATATGAGAGGAACCAATGATGGAAGACAGACTTTAAGTAGCACTGTGGGGAGAGGGTCAAGCAGACAGGTGGATGATTTGGATTCCCTGATTAAATTTGACATCTCAGTTGCAGAGGGGAGACTGAAACTTGAGAATACATGACTTGGAGTTGTAAGGATGGGTTCAACTTGTGAAACAGGATCTCTAGTAGCATGGAGTTGTTGGTGAATATTTGAGATTTTGGATGTGAAGAAGGACATCAGGGAGTTGCAATAGTCAGAGGAAACCATACTGTTAAGCAATAAATCAGGAGGCTTTGTAATTTTGGAGAACAGAGAAAAAAGGGTCTTGGAGTTACCTTCACTCGAGCTGATTAAATTAGAATAGTAAACCGATTAGCCGTGTGAATGGAGTCTTTATAATGCAATAAGTGATTCTTATATAGATCTTTATGGATAGTGAGGCCGGTTTTCTTAGACAAACGTTCCAATCTGCGTCCTTCGGATTTAAGACAGCGAAGGTCGTAGTTAATCCAAGGTGCTGAGCGGTTAAATGAGACAGATCTTTGCTTAATTGGGGCAAAAGTATTGAGAATGTTATTTAGATTAAAATTATAGTTAAAAACAAGATCCTCGGGTGATGAGGTAATGTGAGCAGGCTGTAGATCAGATATTGCAGAGGAGAATGCATCAAGATTTATATTGTTGATTTTTCTAAAAGCAATATTGTGAGGGATATGGGTTTTAGAGGCCTTTATAGTTACATTAAACGTGATTAACTTATGATCTGAAAGAGGAAAAGAACTGGCTATGCATTGGGCCGGGGTAATACCCGAACAGCAGACCAGATCCAGAATATGGCCTTTGGAGTGAGTGGGGAAGTTGATATGCTGTTTGAGTCCAAAACTATCTAAACAGGAAGTAAAGTCTCTGGTAAGAAGATTATTTTCATCCATGTGAATGTTAAAGTCACCAGTGATTATCAGATTGGGAGAGAGTATGGAAAGGTGAGTGAGGAGAGCAGTAAAGTCATTTAAGAAGTCCTTATTCGGCTTAGGTGGGCGGTAGACAGTACATATGATGGTAGGAGTGAAAACCCAATCTAGATTGTAACCCGGGTCCTCCGCGTGGAAGTCAGGTGTCCAGGGAGTTGTAATGCGCTGTAATAAGACGCCCACATTTTTATTTTTAAACGTCTAAATGAGACACACCCAAAACATTGAAATCACGGTCAGAAAAGACGTCGGGTCAACTTTTATTTTGGAACTAATTTTCAACCAGGACGGGATGCGGAATCGTAGTATGTCCAAGGAAGGTACCATATTTCTCACTCCCCATAACAGCTTTTTGTTGTTGGCAGTGGCAGGAGAACAGTCTGCACTTAGCAAGGGAAGATGCCGGTAATAAATAGTCAATCTTAGAGCCCTTCTAGCCAACCAGAGGCAAGAAAGATGGGATCTTCCTTGGACATCCTACGATTCCAAGCACAGACAAAATATCGCGTGTGCTCTCGTGAGAAAACTTGTCCTTTACAAAAAAGTATCAGGAAAGCCCTTTTTAATTTATTTTTCTCAAATAAATCATTTTTATGGCCTAAAAAGACAATTATATGATGTAGATATCCATGGTAGTAACAGGTGATGACTCATTTAAGTTTTTCACATTTTTAAATAATTTTCTTGAGCCGATATGTGCTAAAAGGATCCTTTACAGGCTTAACGAAATGTTACTCAGACACCATCGGCCTCTGTGGCCAGAATATTGCACGGTCCGGTCCCTGTCGGACTTAGTAAAGGAGCTTACATGTCTGGCACTGGAGTCTGCTTCCAGCACATTTCCTACATGTTTTAGATTATGAACACAGCTGATTTGTTTGATTTTGTGATGACTCACCCCCGTAGACACTAATGAGGGCTGGGAAACATTTCAGCTCTTAGCATAAGGTGTTAAAGGAGAAGAGTTTCACTTTTGGTTTTACGACACTGAGTTAAACTGGACTCTAGGGGGTGCTAAAAGCAAGCCAAAACTGCCTTTTAAACGTCGAGCTGCATTTTTTGTTTTTCCACAACAGCAGCTTGATGAAAACATAAACCCTTCATCTGATTCAACTCTGTAACAACAGTGTTAGCTTCTTTACTATCATCTCGCTCAACTGAAGCTCTCTCGGTGCTTTCTTTAAAAAGAAAAAAAAAGTCAAAAACATGAAACCGTCCCCCATCCGGCTGCAGCTAAACACTCAGTGATTACTTTAAGTCGACCGCTGGAACACCGGGCTGATGTCGAGATAACAGGAAGGCCGACCAACACAAACAGGATGTTTGGACCCTCTAGTTCTTCTGGGAGTTAAGATTCCGTGTGTGTGTGTGTGTGTGTGTACTTGTCTTTTAATGCTCAAGTGGACTAATCTTAACTTATAACCTGAAGTGTGTGGACCTTTCCACATTATGGGGACATTTGGCTGGTCCACACTATGACAAAGTATCCTTACACGTGGTTTTAGAGATACGGTGTGAGTTAACTTTAGGTTTAAATTAGGATTAGGAATAGAACAGCATTGGTTAGGTGTAGGGTTAGGCATAGTGGAGTCCCGAAAATGAATGGAAGTCAATGGAGTTTATAAACAAGGATACAGAGACAAGTGTGTGTGTGTGTGTGTGTGTGTGTGTGTGTGTGTGTGTGTGTACTTGTTTCTTCTCTCTGCGTTCTAGATCTCACTGCATTAACGAGTACATTTCATCTGTTTATTTCCAAAATTGTCTTTTAACTAGGTCAGCTAACTAAAGGAGCAAGCAGTTAGCTCTGCCATCTAGTGGCCACATTTAGGTACTACTGCCTTGCTGCAAAAGATGCTGGACGTGGACGTCTGTCCCTGCACCGTTGAGTTCCAATTCCTCTATGAGTGTGTTTGCATGCAGGATTTTTTTTAGGTTTTGTAAAAATTTTGCTAACAAAATTCCAAAGTTGTTTAGTTAAAATCCTCTCAGTTGCTGCAGATTCATGTTTGCAAATTCCACTCTCATCTAATCTTTTGGTTTCTGTCTCTCTAATCTCTAGTGCTCTTCTCTCTCACTCTCCTCCCTCCCTCACCCGTTTTCTCTCCCCACAGTTCCCCCCTGCTCTGGCCTTCCTGGTGTACCACCCTCCCTCCACCCTCTTGTGTTCTCTTTCTCTGCTCATAAGCGGACTCTGGGCGTTCCGCCAGCTGGCTTGTGTGTGTTTTTTGAATGAATACCTGATGAAGTTGGACGAGCGAATGGAGGGAGGAGCCTGTGTGTGTGTGTGTGTTGGGGGGGGGCAGACAGTGTGAGCACTCTGGCTCACATTCAGCCCCTTGCATAATACACGTTGGAGCTCTGCATGCGGGACTCCCTCCCTGTGGGTGTGTGCTAGCAGTTGTGTGTGTGTGTGTGTGTGTGTGTGTGTTTGTGTGTGTGAGAGAGATCACCTGAGTGCTGCATGTCAGCAGCAGGGAGCTTCCTGCCTCGCTGTCAGGCTTTAGGAGCAAGCTGCTGGTTGAGTGTCGCTCCTTGGTGGTGGAAAAAAAAGCAGGAGCAGCTCATGGCACTCATGCCCCCTGAGTGTGTTTAGGATTCTGTGCCGGACAAAGGAGGATTTTTTTGCTGTTGCTTTGCGAAGACACACAGCAGAGAGGAGGAGTGGAGATAAAGGAGCAGAGGAATGAGCGGGCGAGAGAAAGCATGGTGCAGAAGTGGGCTACTCCTGCCACCCTGGTAAGCAGACTTGACGGAGTAGTGTGTGTACGGGGCGGTGGTTCCAGTGTGTTTTTGTGCATTTGCCCTAGTTTCTCCTGCAATAGTACTCGGTTGTCTTTCTTCTGTTGACTTCTATCCTGAAGCTCTTCTTCTCTTTAAACATTTTTCTCATTCATTTGCTCCCCCTCTCATGGTCTACCCCCTCCCCCTTTCCTCACCTCCTCCAGCAACCTTTGGGGTGAGAAAGTGCAAAGTCACGCAACACTGCTCAAGAGCTTGTTTTCTGAAAACTACACCCTCTTTTGCTCTCTGTCAGTCACTTGTTTATCTCCATCTCTGCTCCTCCTTTTTTAACTCGCTCTCTCACCCTCTTTCTTTTTTCTTTTCTCCGCTGCTCCCTCTTTTTCTCCCCCTTCAACTTCACCAACTCATTCCTCAATATCTGATCCTTTGTCTGACCAAAACCCTGGATGTGTGTACAGTTGCTTACATGCATGTAAACCCTAATGACAAGCCACGAAAGAGAGAGAGGGTGTGTGTGTTTGTGTGTGTGTGTTAGCCTGTAGAAGCAACACTGTCTCATCCAGTTGAGCTATATTTAGCTGTGAGATAACGCATCACGTTGAACGTATCCGTTTGATAGTGATTACGATTATGACCGGACATGCAGGCGCAGCTGGACACATGTAACATGCATACGTCCTCTATCTGACTTGTGCATTGATTTAAAAGCATATTTTACAGAAGTTTCATTGATGCTGGTAAACCACAGTGTAAGCAAGACGTTATTTATAATAGAGCTGGGTAATTCAATAACGATATCTGTCAATAGACGTATGTCAATAGGCTATTTTGTAGTAGCCAGTCTGGTAGCTTAATACTAGCCATTACTTACTCTCGACCAATCAAAGCCACAGATCCAGGCATGCTCCGTCAACAAGCCCTCCCCTCTCTAACCTAAACAAACAGCACGTGACTTAAACAAGATGTCGCAGCAAGGAGAGGCGGAGGAAGTCCCAAAAAAGGTTACAGTAGTTCACAAGCATGGCAACATTTTGATTTTTCAAAAAGCAAAAATTGGTCCTGTGACAGTCAAATCTGTCTTGTCCACAATAAGAAGCAGGAAATTATTAGACAACCATGATTGAACCAGCACATCTTCGATTGGTTAACTTGAAGTAAATTCTAGTTGACCTGCATTTGTAAAATTCACACACTGATGGTGACAAGCTACGTTGTAGCCACAACTGCCCTAGGGCAAGGCAGCTGTACAGTCACCACCAGCAGGTACAGTCAACATTAAAAGTTTACATTAAAAAAACTTAAAAGAAGACTAAGAGGCAGCAGATGAGGAAGAAGGCAGTGGGCCAAGCACAGAGCCTTGAGGGGCCCCATGCCTCACCACTCAGGTATCGGAGAGATCACTTTAAAAAGAGTATTCTGAGAAATTTCCAAGACAGGTAGGATCTCAAGAGAATGCATTTCTTTTAACTCCAATAAAGTGTTCAAACCAAACGCAGCTTAGATCTTAAATCAGTAATAAAACCGAAGCGTGATCATTTTCTGCTTTTACCAACAGGTCATTTACCACCTTGAGTAAAGCTGTTTCTCTAGTTTGTTCTAAAAAGAGACTGAACCAAACTGGTTGATCGACAAGCTGTGTAGAATTGTTTTTAAAGACCTTGGACAAAAACAGGATGTATCTGAGATTGATATGTAGTTCACCCGGGTCAGCATCTAGTATAGCCATGATATAAGGTCATAAGACTGACCACAATACCTTTTATTGCCCAGGTAGGGTTCAGAGAACAAGCAGTAAATCGAGCTGAATTAAGGATCTTAGTTAATTCAGACGGGGAAATAACCTTGAGGTCAGAGAACCCTTGACTGGCACCAGCGGGCAAAGCAGCTGAGTAGTCTGATGAACTCCCCGATGGGGGTGTAATCTGACTTCTCAGTGTTTCAGCTCTGTCTTGGAAGAAACCTAAGAAACTCATGAGCTGTCAAATCTGAGCTACAGATAGCTGAATTGCTTTCTGTTGAATCATAAGAACAAAATGGCTTTCCAAGCCTGTAAAGATGCTTCTTATCTGGAAGACCGCCAACGGCGATCCGCTTTTCTTCAATTTCTCCTCCGATTCAAAAGTTCCACATTTAACTGGGAAAGTGAGTTCCTTCTTAAATCAGGAAGTGCAACGTTGAGTTTAAAAGTCAATGTCGTCACATAAATCATGGGTATAAATGGAATCCAGCACATCAGTTAGACATAAGTTAATTCTAGGCAATGATTCAGGCCTGATGTGATGAGATGACCCGAGGGGCATGTTTCTCTTCTCAGAAATCTGGGATTTAGAATTAAAATAATAATTATGCTATAATAAAATAAAGTTTCAAGTGGATTATTAAGCAGTCATTTATTTACCAACGCACTCACAGAGCATCCAACATATTTTTGTCGTAGAAATTTGCTGCCTGTCTGGGTTTTTTCTCTCTTAACTTTGCTACACGAGTCCCAGAAAGCACACACTCGTAGAATGTAGTGACACTGATCTCTGTGTGTGTGCATGTGTGTGAAGGCGTCTGAAGCACATGGAGGGCATTCTGCTTGGGTTACGCGTTATTTGATACCCACACATTAACTTTGCGTACGCTGCAAGCTCAGCAACACGCAGGTGACTTTGCTTTTCAGTGAATCCGTGTTCGAGTGTCAGTTTCAGTGAAGCAATACTTTCTCTTTTTGCTATGTAGGTCAGGTGAAGCTGCCGCTCCCTTTCGCCTCCTGTGAGGCGTAAGCCTCCCCTTGCTTTTATCCCTCGGCTCTCATTTCTGTCCTGCCGCTGTGACTTCATCTATACCTTGTACCAGATTCCTCACATTTCTCTTCCTGCTCTGTTCATTGATTAATCAATGATGTTTGGCTCTGGTGATTCGGGTTCCGTTGAAGGCTGGGGCAATTTGGTCTATAAAAATGCTGATATATTTATTATTACATATATTAAAATACACTTGAACTCAACCCTTTCCTTAAAGGTGAATCAACACTTGTGCAGTGGTTGTAAGTCGTATTCGGGGGAAACAAAGATCCGGTGCACCTGTTTCAGGAACTAGAAGTGAGCCATGGCAGAGTTGACCTTCAGATGATTTGGTGTCTTATTTCCTGATATTTGGACATCTCGCCTAGGGCGATGATGTATATATCTATCTATCAATAGACCTGCGGTGGGATATATAAAAAAAATGGGTCGATCAAAAACTTTGATGAAAAAGTTTCCTTTCCTTTTTCATTATAGCCTATCAGGTAGCTCAATACTAGACTCCCAACCAATCCAAAACACAGATCCAGACACGCTCCGACACCAAGCCCTCCCCTCTCAAACCTAAACAGACAGCTTATGACTTAAACAAGACGTTGCACTGAGGAGAAGCAGAGGAAATTCTCCCAAAAGAATATTTTTGTTTTTACAAGTCAGACGATAAAACAGTTGTTTGCTAAAATTGTTATGGGGGCTGAACCCAAATCTTCAGCTAACAGAGCTGCACGTTTGGTTATTTTTTATTTTCCCACTTAATTACTGTCCTTTTGTCTATTTGTGCAGCCTACAGCGCTGCATGTGACAACCACGCTGATGGATTTCATTTAGCCACAATTTAGGTCAATTCATTGACAACTGAGAGATAAAAACAACAGTAGTCAACGGGGGGAGCCATCTTCTTGCCCTCTGACCTGAAGCTGGGGGGTGCATGACGTCACATGTCAAGGGGTGAATATGATGAAATATTTAAATGATTGTTACAGTTAATGAATGTAAATCTAAATATTTAAGTATAGTTTTTTTTATTTGAAGGTTGGTTTTCATCTAAAGAAAAAGGGATGCATCAAGATTTTTTTACCTCAATTTATAACCTTTTGCATCATATTTTTTCTTTTTTCTTGTTACTTTATTCCTTTTCCTTTCCTTTTTTAAATGTTATTGTTATTAAGTGTTTTCTTTTTAAAATATTTTTTATTAGAGTTTCATTTGATTTCATTTTAAAATACAACGTACACCTTCCGTTCTTTAGCTGGTGAACGTTTGCCTGTGTCAGCATAAAACGAGCGGCTGCCACGGTTTGAACACGCCAGAGGAATGTGTCTGGTTAGGTACACGAGGGTGTGTAGCTATGGAAGTTTGTTATTGAAGTCCTTTTAACATTATTGATGAGTTCACACCAAGCTGTCCATCTTCAGCAGCATTGGCTCATGGGTAACAGATGGCTCAAACACACACACACACACACACACACTTATTCACAATCACACACTTTTGCATACAGCACAGGCTTGTAATCTAAGTAGTATTGGCTCTTTCGGGAAGACTTTGAATATCTTTAGTCTATATATAGTCCTGTGCAAAAGTTTTAAACCAAATTTATTTACAGGGGTATTATGGAAGTTTGACAGCCAAAACATGTATAGAAATAATAAATGTCTTCTTCATACATTCTCCTGCAATGCCCTGGTCCTGTAGAATGAGCCCTGGCATTTTTACTGTGATTGCCTGTTTTTCTGTAAAATCACAGAAAAAGAGAGATGCTCGGGTCGAGCAGGCTGCTTCATGCGCGTTCACGCTCAGGCATCGCCCGTAGCATTTGCTATCCGTAGCTTTAGCAGCAGAGAGAGAGGCAGTGCCACTTTGTCGCTGTTCCTAACGCCTAGTGATGAACCTTGCTACATTTCTGAGGACCCTTAGCTACGTTCTGTAGAACTTTCTTCTAGATATTTCCTGCAAATTAGCAACAAAATAGCCATTTTCGCTTCGAACCGTTCTTTGGTTTGACGTTGTTTCAGCTGTCATCAAGGATATAAATGTTACAGATACTGAGAATGTTACTAGAGTGTAGCTCACCTTGTAAGATGTCTGACTCCCATGCAGAAGTCCTGGGTTTGATTCTGGGTGCGAACATGGTTCATTTAGAGATTCTTTTTTACATTAATGGTATATTTTTTTACAGTAAGACGCCCAAATTTTTATTTGAGACTCACCGAACGGCATTGAATTCACAGATAAAAAAGATGTGGGTTCAACTTTCAATTTGGAACAATTTTTCAAGCAAGGGAAGGGAATGATCTGAGCATGCAGGAGGACTGACCCATCATAAACCTTTGTCGGCTGTGCTGAAGAGAAAGCTACAGAACCAAATTATTTATTTAATTAATTACCTGCGCGTTCTCCTGTCCTCTGTCCTCCGGGCCACACACACACACACAGGACTGTCTCAGCTGCTATTTTCGTTAAGGAGTGTGCACGTACAGCATGCGTGCCTCGTGCACGAGCCTACTATTGAAGCTGCCGTTACGCTTTTGGCCTGAGGGGGCAATCGCGAGCATAAAAATTCAAAAGTCCATAAAGTCCCTTTAAACTTAGGTTGTAATGCCTTAAAATGATTTGGATAATTCTGCCTGCATTTTAATGGTTTCTCAGCTTATTTTATTCATTTTCTGAATAGTATATTGTGCAAGTGTGTCCAGATGAATTAAGAAAGTTGAAAAGTGGAGGACAAAATATCATGCCCAAAAAAACCTATCTACAATTTTTTAATAAAATCCAGCAAAAGCCTAAAGCAGGACCAGAAAGATGAGTCCTTTTTTCACCTCACAACTCTTTATAAATTCTTCTTAATGGTGGGAAAATCCTATTTTGTGTGTCAGAATGAAATATGTTGTGTTTCTCTCATAAGAGCAGATAAAGAAAATAAAACCAATAGTTTCTTGTTTCTGGTGACTAAGAGCCTAAAGATCAAATTAAAAATAGATTTTTGTTTTAATAAGTTATATGCCAACAGTACACAGGTCCATCCTTTCATAAATGACAAAACTATAAATAGTTCAAAAATAGTCTGTTGCATTGAGTGAATCAAGCAACCAACGTGCAAAGAAAACTGAATGACTCTCAGAAAGTCTGAAAAACTACGGATCGTAAACCGTTTCAAAAGACTGGAAGACAATACAAAGAACTGACTCAAGAGTTTCACACAGTACCATAAAATACCAGAAAGGTGACAAGGACGGTAAAGTGAGTCTTTGGTTTCTTGTGTAGAATAGAGTAGAATAGAATAGACTTTATTGATCCCACGGTGGGGAAATTCGCTCGTTAAGGCAGCGCATACACTCAGAGAATAGGGATAATACACAGAGGCAGTCGGCTATTATTGTAACCTTCAGCAATAAAAAAATAAATACAATTAGAAAACGGAGTTTCCAAGAAGAAACTGCATGAAGGACAAAGACGTACGAATGTGCCACTGGGTGTTGCACGCATACTGAATATAGCGCTGATGTTGGTGTGAAAAGGAACAGCAGTAGCTCAGGAGGTAGAACAGGTTGTCCAGTAATCAGAAGGTTGTAGGTTCGATCCCGGTGTCCCACCAGACAATGCTGCTGTTGTGTCCTTGAGCAAGACACTTAACCCAACCTGCCAGCTGGTGGTGGTTGGAGGGACTTGTGACGCCTGTGCTCGGCAGCCTCGCCTCTGTCAGTGCGCCCCAGGGCAGCTGTAGCTAAATTGTAGCTCATCCCCACCGGCGTGTGAATGTGTGTGTGAATGGGTGAAGGACTGATTGTATTGTGAAGCATCTTGGGAGGTTGTAGAACCCTAAGCCCCAGGCAATTTACCATTTACCCAAAGGGATAATGCCAGTACCAGTTAAACTGTGGAGTTGTGCACTCTTATCGCAGTGGGAATGAATGAATGAAAGATGAACAGGGTATCCGCGGGTCCTTAAAAAGTCTTAAATTTGCTTTTCCAAATTTAAGGCCTTGAAAATCCTTAAAAATGACAAATAATCCTTAAATACAGTTTCCAAAGGTCTTAAATTACCAAAGACCCAATAAACAAGATTCTTTTATTTCTATAAAATTTTTGTGAATTTCGAGTGTTCAGCATTTTTTTGTGTGTATGATGGTTGGCATAAGCGGAACCGTACGCATTCAGTTGGTTGTGAAAGGGGGCTATTTTTAGATGAGCACATTAGCTGGTTAAGCTAGTGGGAGCTTGCGCCATGGGGAAGTGCAAGTTTAATGGTAACTGGATGGCTAATCCCACGTTCGCGACGTGGTTAGCACCGGTTCCAGGCAATAGCTGGAAATTAAAGCTTAACTTTAATTTTAAAAAATTGCTTAAATTTGGTCAAAGTGGCCTTAAAAAAGGTCTTAAAAAGTCTTGAATTTGGCTCCCTTAAACCTGCAGATACCCTGGATGAATGAGCATTCTGTTTTGCATCATGGATAGGAATTTATTCAAAGCCTGATTCACCTTAGAAGCAGCCAGATGAAGTATCAGGATTGGCACCTTCATCATAAACCTGCTGCATCCAATTCTGTACACGTCTGTTGTCTCTGGTGGAGGAGCCAGAGGTGGCAATTTTTTTCTGTTTTATTGTTGTATAATCACATTAAAGCTTCTCACCATGTATGGAAATAATGAGTTTTCACAAACATCACGTTTTCAATGCGTTTTGTTTCTGTCTTTAACAGGTTTGTGCCGTGCGTGGGTGGATTTTTCGTCGGAGGGAAATGATTCCGCATGAAGTACAGCGAACTCGGCCCCCCATCGTCCTCTGCAGCAGCAGCAGGTGTGACCTCACAACGCTCTCCCCTACGACTCTGGGCTCGTCGCTCGTCTGCTAAAGAGTCACAGGATCGATCCGACGGCTCCGCTCCTCCACATCAACTCCACATCCCCATCTTCGATCCTTGCTCTCCCATCTTCAAGAGAAGCAATCTGCTGTCCCGGACGATCCAGAAAGTTCAAATACAGTTCATGTCAAATGAAGGATTTAAAGTGAAAGAGATTGGAAAGTAAAGGAAAAAGTCAGAGATTAGAAGTAGAGAGATAGTGATTGGACGAGTTTTAGAGAAAGATAGAGAAAGTAGAGTAAAAGGACAGCATGAAGTCAAACCAGGAACGCATTAATGAATGTCTGCCTCCTAAAAAGAGGGGCACGTCGAGCACATTACCCTGTGAAAGTCGCTCACCGAGTATACCGCCTATTAGTGACAGCCAGCGTATAGAAAGCATGACCTGTCAGAGTGTGGCAGGTGGGAATGAGAGTAGTCCACATCACAGCTCCAGCCAGTCTGATGGCCCCCTCTATAAGTCCCCCTCTTTATCGGACGCTTCCTCGCTGAGGCTAGTGTCGTCCCTCCCTACCATGTGCACACCTTCCCTATCACAGTCCACAGTCCCAGGAACTGTCCATTACACTCAGCTGCCTCCCAACATGCAGTTTATAGCATCTGCCTACACTACTCCGTACGCAGGCTACATCTCCCCTCAGCTACTCCCACACCCTCCTTCCCCTTTCTCGTCCTCATCAGCCAAGCAGAGACCTTCTCACACAGAGACAACCCAGGTCTCTAAACACGATCATCAGCGAGCATCAGCGGGCCGCACGTCCATGCCCCCTCCGTCGACAGACCCCGTCCCTCATCACATTCAGATGTCTATGTCACAGCGGACTTTGCCGTCGCCTCATCACCAGGGCGCAGCTCACCATCCGTCCCCCTCCCAGCACTCTCTGGGCGCTGGTGCATCCCAGATGGTGGTGAAGTACACAGATGGGTCCAGCAGGAAAGAGGAAGGTGGCTCTAGACACCGAGAGCTCCTCAACGGGGAGCTGGACAGGGGCAGGCGGTTCGGACACTCGCCTGAGTCCATTCTCGCAAAGTCGGGGAGTAAATCGAGAGAGACCTCGTCCTCTTTGTCTTCCTATGAGGCACGCCAGCTTGTCCTGCCATCGGAGTACTCTGCTCATGATCACTTAGGGCTCAGAACGTCTGTCATGTTGATGCCCAACAGCCACGGAGATCACCAGTTAGCACCGCCCAGAGCCAGCCCGGAGAAACCGACAGCTTCAGTATCGTCACACCTGGAGAAAGGTGGTATCCTTATGGGCAAGCCTGTCAGTCGCACCCTGTCCTCGTCCAACACCACCTGCTCCTTCACGTTCCCACCTCCACAAAGTGCAGATGGTCTGAAAGCAGCTGTCAACACGTTATCACCTCAGACTGTAATCCAGACCACCCACAACACTACAGAGCCACTATCAATGGGACTCCCATCCACGAGCATCTACCCACAGCCCATCATAGGTTACATCGCAGGCAGCAGTGGGAGCAGCTACCACACCAGCCTACATCAACACTTACTCATTCCAGGCACCCAGCCGGTCATCATCCCTGTTAGCGGAGGCGGAGTCCCCACACTGGAACCGGTAACCTCCCACATCACTTCGTCTACCCACGCCGCACCTTTTCCTGCTACACTCCCACACACCTACATTGCTGCCCAGAAAGGAGAAGCTATTGAAACCCAAAGTGGCTCATTCCAGGTGGCTGGTGCAGGTGCTATGGTTCAAGCCCAGCTTCATCTCCCCATTGCTCCTGCTCCACCTGGGCTGGTTGCAGGCTCCGTCCCTCCCCTCTCCTCTGCTACAGTGGTGCCGCCCTCACTCCCTCCTTACTTTGTCAAGGGCTCCATCATCCAGCTGGCTAATGGCGAGCTGAAACGTGTGGAGGACCTGAAAACGGAGGACTTCATCCAGAGTGCAGAGATCAGCACTGACCTGAAGATCGATTCTTCCACAGTGGAGCGGATTGAAGGGAGCCTCACCTCACCCAACTTTGCTGTTGTCCAATTCTCTGTTGGTGAGCATCGCTCACAGGTGAGCAACAAAAACCTTCTGGAACCATTTATACTCTTGGGTTAAAATGGTTACTAGTTACCATGGTTAAAATTTCACCAACAAGCTTTACCACTTAAAAAATCATTAAAACCATATTTTGTGATTTCTCCGTCCAAGGCTATGATTGGTCTCGGATTGTCCCAACAGCTTCCCAGAGGAGAGAACATCTGGGGTTTTTATTCTTACCAATCAAGGCGATCTCTTAAGTTTCTTTCTCTGTTGTGCTCATGTACGTGTTGGCACTTTTAAAGCAATCATCCAAGATGTTTTGGTCTGACATGCAGTCTGCTTTTCCCAACAGTGTTTAAACTTAAATGCAACTTCCTTCAATCCCTTCACAATAAGAGTCAAATGCACTGTGTGTATGAATTATAGTACTTTCATTTAAAAGTTTTTAAAATAATGTTGAGTCCTTTTGAATGTAAAAACAGAGGCTAAATGCTAGGTGCATCAAGTTTTCATCCTGAGGATTACATTTAGTCCCTTAGATATTTGCCAGTTTAAAGGGTGACTTTTTCCCTTAAGTTATAAAAGTAGTATAATAGTTCTGTGATTGACACAAAACATTGTCATTAAGTTCTTTCCACAAAATCCCTCTTACATAAAGCAATCTAAGCAGCTTTATCCTTGACATTTTCAGTACCGTCCAGAATGAGCCGTTTCAGAACTCTGTCACTTTAAGAACACAAGCTGGAGCTGGCCACACCCACCCATCTCCTGCTCAGGCTTCTGAGAAGCTCTGATTTGCAAGAGGGGCTCTGAGTAGAGTCACTGCTCGTACATCAGCAGCTTTAGCTTGAGAGGTGGTTCTATGCTAATTTTCCCATTTGTGACATCACAAGTTGGGCCTTTTTGAAACTGCTTGTTTTAGGCACATAACATCACTTTTTTACACCTTTTGAGTGTTTATGGAGGCAGTAGAGACCCACGTGGCAGCACAGATTGATGCAAAAGGTGAGTTTTGCATAATATGTCCTCTTTCATATTCAGCAGGTGCAGAGCTCCTTGTTACGTTTTCTCACTAAGCATGATGTATTAAATACTGTCTGAGTAAAATGGTGAATAATTACTACAATTACTACAAATAATGACAATGTTCATTTTACAAATATATATACAGTTACCATTAAAGCGCTTGGCATAAACTAACTAGCTGATGAATTCCTTTTGTATTGGGTTTATTTTATGTTCTTGTCTGTTAATGTAGCATGGTGTTAAAAATAAATGTCTTGAAAAAGAAAGTTAAAGTCCCATCAGTTGTCACACACACTGATGTGTGTGCGAAATTTTTTCTGCGCATTTGACCCATCCCCTGGGGGAGCGGTGAGCTGCAGACACAGCCGCGCTCGGGAACAATTTGGTGGTTTAACCCCCCAATCCAACCCCTTAATGCTGAGTGTCAAGCAGGGAGGCATAGGGTCCCATTTTTTCTAAGTCTTTGGTATGACCCGACCAGGAATCGAACCCTGATCTCCCAGTCTCAGGGCGGACACTCTACCACTAGGACACTGAGCTGTAGTCTTATTCAACTACTAGAAAATCTACTTTTAAGTTTTAGCAGGATCTGTAACTTTTTCGTTAGATTTTTAGGGAGGTTTTGATGTTTATTCAAACTTAACACTGACCGACGAGCGTTGTGCTGCTCCCATATTAACTACTTATTATTGTGAATCTCCCAGGACTCGACTGTTCCCACTCTAATTAGGTTCAATGTACTAGGATGGCAGTCTTGTTCCAAACATGTTCTGATTACGAGCTTCGTGACAGTTCAAGGAGTTGAGATCTGGAATCTTGGCAGGTTCTTTTAAACAAAAACAGAACCGTACCTTCGTGAGAGCTTTCATTTCTTCTGCTTCAAGCCGGAACAATTACCTTTCCTTTATATTCTGATGGTTGGGTTCATCTTTATCAAATATTAAAACCATGAAAACACGTTCTTTCCGCAAGATTTTTAAAAGAGAATCACGTTCTCTTCAGTTTTCTGAAATACGCTTGTGTGCACACACACACACACACACATGTGCACATGCTACTTGCTGCTGTCCTTAAGGTTGTGCTTCAAATCCAGCTGATCTGTTTCATCTGTCTGTGCATCGACTTGTCTGCCCACGCTGTACATCTCCAATCCTCTCCCCCACCCCCGGCTACTCTTTGATATTCTGCCCCTCAAAAGCTGACCATCTTTCAAAGCCTTGCTTGTATCTCATGAGCCACTTTGGATCACACTCAAAAAACCTACTTTCTTTTAAACGTTATGTAACCCAAGAGGGAGATATTGTCAGATGTTCTTCATGCAAAATAAAAAGGTTAAACTTGTATAATTTTTGACATTCCTCCACAACTCTTTCTCTAGATTCTTCATCTTCTCTTTTTGATTTCTTCTCGGTATTTTACATTTTCTTTCATTTTACTGTTTTCATGTTTATTTTTTTCCTCATTCTCCTGTTCAGGCCTCAGATATTGTTTTTTATATTTTTACCAGAGACTAAAACCTCTCTTAGCTTTAGAAATTCAAAATTCCAACTATATATATCGTTTGGTCTTTTTGTGCCACACTTCTTTTTTTTTTAAACAACCAAATTCACATATAGTGTCTTTTTCCAAAAAGCAAACCATCCAGCAGCATTTTTCTATATGGTTCTATTTCCAGGCATCAACTCTCCTGCACACCAACTCCCACAGCTGCTCTTCTCTGCTTTTATAGCAGCACTTTGTGTGAATTAAGCTAAATTTGTTGGATACATTAAATATCTTAAAAGTCCTTTATATGTGTCTTTATTGATCACACCATAATACAGTCAATTTTGATTTCATGATTTATCCCTTCATTAGTTTTAATCACCACTAAAGAGCACAATTCTGCCACTTGTTGAGGTTAATTAGCATCTACACGGGAACTCTAGATATTTTAGTCCTTATGATCATCTAGTAAATGGCTTGTATTTGATATAGTACCTTCTAGAGTCCTGGAACTCCTCAAGGCGCTTTGCAACACAATCAGTCATTCACCCATTCACACACAATCACATCCTGGTGGGGATGAGCTACGATGTAGCCACAGCTGCCCTGGGGCGCACTGACAGAGGCGAGGCTGTCGACCACTGGCATCACCGGTCCCTCTGACCACCACCAGCAGGCGAGGGGGGTTAAGTGTCTTGCCCAAGGACACAGCGACAGATTGAGCGGGGCTCAAACCTGCAACCTTCCGATTACGGGGCAAACACTTGACTCCTGTGCCACCGTCGCCCCAATCTAAATAACTTTGTGCTTTTGAGACATAGTCAGCTGGCGTATGTACACATTTCAGTCGTAATTCATATAAACGTATACAAGGATGGAAAACAGTTGAATCGAACACATAATATAAAGTCTAGTGTGTCCTCAGAGTGATGGTTTCTGTGTGTATACAGGAAGTCACTCGATGCTCTTATTTTGGTGAGCTGAACTGTAGTTTTCCTGTTTATAGCTGAAAAGGAAAAATAAATTGTGTTTCACAACTCAAACATCTGTTTGACCTAACGGCAGTATGATTACTCAGATTTTTTACCCGATTGTCATCTTCTTTTGATCTTAAGAATGCACCCATTCACTGTAAAGACTCTAAAGATAATCTTATCAGATTTTCCTGTCGTGTGTGGTGTGTTAAGAGCAGTTTGGTTTGCTCTGAAGCAAGGTGGAACCATTTAAGTAAAAAAAAACGGGGCTTTCAAATGAGCATACTGATTGTTGAACATGATGTCTAGCCAGTCAGAGAGTGAGGTGATGGAAATGCACTCTAAGCTTTTCATCTTCCATGTTTGTTCACTCCGAAGTCATGTTGCTTTTGGAAGAGTCCTGTCTAGCCAGGAAATGTTCATGTGTTGTTTTTGCAATGTTGCAATGCACCACACACTGTTGGACCAAAACTGGTCTAGCCGTGATTGTTTATTGCCACATGTGTCCAACCACAATAGGAGTCGAACAAGAGTGAACATCGGGAGTTTTCTTGAATCGTCAGAGCTCAGAGACGTGATTCCTGCATGTTTTAGATAGTGAACACAACTGATTTGTATGATTTAGTGATGAATCACTCCTGTAGAAACTAATGATCGCCGAGGAGACATTTTAGCAGTTAGATGAAGGTGTTAAAATTACAAGTACACAGCAAGGGGGAGAGTTTCAGTTTAGTTTTTACGACTGTAAATTCTAACGGACACTAGGGGGTGCTAAAAGCAAGCCAAAACTCAAAAGTTTCCCTTTAAAAATGTTCTATTTCTATATATTTAGATCAGTTAGTGTTCCAAGCATAAAAAATTTTAATTTTTTGTGCTTTTCCGTTTCTCTTCCCTCCAGGTGAGTGTGGAGGTGTTGCTTGAATACCCCTTCTTTGTGTTTGGCCAAGGATGGTCGTCGTGCTGCCCCGACCGGACCACCCAGTTTCTGGAGCTGCCCTGTACTAAGCTCTCTGTGGGGGATGTTTGCATTTCTCTCACTCTGAAGAACCTAAGGAACGGATCGCTGAAGAAGACTCAACCTCTGGAGCCTCACATTTCTGTCCCATCCGTGAGTCCCGGGCACCTCAAACCCCCCGGAGGAGACTCGGACGTCCCTCAGAGCTGCAGTGGAGGAATCCCCAGGCAGCGGGAGAACGGGATCGGCCTGCGAGGGAGCGGCAAAAGCGGGAATGGAAGTGGAGAGAGCTCCAGTGTGGAAAACGGAGATTTGATGTTTGGTGAAAGAGGTTCTGTTTCTAAAAATAAGGTGACCAGCAGCACTCAGGCTTGCTCCAGTAGACCGGCGGGAGGCAGGAAGAGGAGATGGTCCGCACCTGAGTGTCGAAAAGTAGAAAAGTCAGAGGAAGAGCCACCTTTGACCTTGCCCAAACCTTCCTTCATCCCTCATGAGGTGAAAGTCAGCATTGAGGGAAGGTCAAACATGGGCAAATAGAAGCTAGCAGGACTGTTAACCTTTGGGATTTAAAAATAAACATCAAAGGATTCTAAAGATTAAAGGAAAGCCCACATATGTTTCATTTGTCCCTTTTTTATTATCTTGAATACTGTACTGTAGAGGTAACCTTACCCTGCAGCTTATCACCTTACATAATATCACAAGAGCAAATCTGTGCCGTTTTGGTGATATTCGTGCTGAGGGATTTGTGAACTTGGCTCTGTGGCACGCTGGCACAATATACTAGACCACTGCTTGTGTAGATTTCAAGCTGATGTAGCAGATTTAGCCTCCTGAGGACGATTTCATTCCCTGGGTACTTCTAGAACAAAGCAGCAGCAAAACCTCTGCTGATTGGAGATTAGATCATAATTTGGTCAAATTGACTCTAAATTTCTGCCTCCGTTAAGCTGAAGTTGTTCCAGAGTGCCACACAGTAGAGAGGGAACAGCACTCGCTCTCTTTCATTTGTAGCATTTAAATTTTCTTTACCTTTTGTATTCCGTCTCACCAGGTAGTTGCTTTATATGGTCAAAAAGCTAAATCAGGGCTCATTTTAGTCCTCTAATGGATCCCAGGTGGGACGTTTACGTGTAAAAACGCAAAATGTGGTGAGCACGACTTTAGGGGAATGATGAAATTGCAGACAAATCTGATTGTATTTAGGATTTTTTTTTTTATTCTTAGAAAAGGATAAGAGCGAAAATGCATAGAGCTCTGAGCGGGTCAGGAGGCATTTACACTCGTCTCACTTTTAACCGCACTGCCAACAGATTGAAGTCTTTATTTACATACCGTACTGTATGTTTCTAGTTAGTTTTTATTATTATTTGGAGGGCAATGGAAGATAGCAGCAGCACTTTGGAAAAAGGGGTTTTGGAAAAGTTGAGTAGAGGAAGATGTGCCATGGAATAAGAAAGCAGTGGATGTATGTGGCAGGTGGCTGAGAGACAATGAATGAAAAAAAAACCCCCATCAATGCTTTCAAACATCCCAGGAATGTTTTGTACTAAACCAAGAGCTCACGTCAATTTTGAGGGTCTTCGCATATTTATAATGTGTGTATTATTTTAGTTGGTCTATAAACACACCCAGCCAGCATGCATAGGTGGGCATGGGCCCCATATGGCAAACTGTATGGGTGCCAACAGGGCTTGTCCGCAGTTTCCATGGTAGCCCCACAGGGATTTGCCACCTGTTTAGAACAAATCAAGTGAAAACTCATGTTGGACTCACTAAAATGCATGTGGGCAATCCCCTGTGGTGACGGTTTACCCATATACATCCATATGGGACCCATGGTGGACCTCATGGATGTATATGGGCAAACGGTATGGATGCCAGCAGGGTTTGTCTGCAGTTTCCATGGAGGCCCTACAGGGATTTGCCACATTAACAGGCTCATCTATGGGTCAAACCAACTGAAAACCCATGTTGGTCCCGCTAAAATGTATGTGGGCAAGGAAACCATGGACAAACCCTGTTAGCACCTATACGGTTTGGCCATATATATCCATATGGAGCCCATGGTGGACCCCATATAGATATGGGCAAGGTGTATGAATGCCAACAAGGTTTGTCCGTTGTTTCCATGAGGACCCCACAGGGATTTGCCTCATGTGTAGGCTAAACCTTGTGAAAACCCATGTTGGGCCCACTAAAATGCATGTGGGCAATCCCCTGTGGCGACATCATGAAAACCATGGACAAACCCTGTTAGCACTCGTACGATTTACCCATATATGTTCATATGGAGCCCATGGTGGATCCCATATAGATATGGGCATGGTGCATGAATGCTAACAAGGTTTGGCCGCGGTTTCCATGAGGGCCCCACAGGGGTTTGCCGATTCTATGAGTCAAGTCGTTTGGGTCCCTCTGAAAACCCATTTAGGGCTCACTAAAATCTATGTAGGCAAAAATCTACGTGGAACCATCATGGAAACCACAAACAAACACTATTGACACCCATGCAGTTCCCCCACATATAAACATAAATAGGGTCCACCTATGCATGCTGGCTGGAACACACACTTGTGCTTAAAACTGCCAACCAAACAATACACACCTCCCTGCGTTCAGTGACTCTATGTACCGTATTTGTCTCTACACGTTTAGATTTTCTGCAAACACTTTAGATGCATGATGTCCCTCCTGCAAAGACACTAGAGTGCTAATGTTGGATTGATGCAAACACATAGCAGCACTCTGTGGTGTGTTGCTGTATGGGTGGGTGTTTAGGAGTGTATGTGTACTGTGCATAGGATAAAGATATACTCTTAGATTAGATATACTATGTATGTTCAGGAAATATCTAGTGTTTCTACTTTGGAGTCTTTACTTAAAGAGAATCTTGCAATTTGCACATCAGGAGGGAGTTTGGACGGAGACGTATTTTTATTTTTATTTTTTTGTTAGACGGCCCTAAACTACGTGACACACTGGAGGAAACCAGGGATTTTTTTTTATTATCATTTGTTCCTCAACAGGCACTTCAACATATTTACAGCAAATGTTTCTACATCAGCTCCGTTAGTGTCATATGACATTAGGTGACTCAAACACAAGCGTAACTATAGAGCGGAGTTTTAAATGTGCCTGCCTACTGAGTTGAGTCAAAGAGGATGAGAGGAGTTCTTTGCTGTTTTGTGGGCCAGGATTGTCCGATGTGGGAGAGGACGGAGTTTGGTTTTTAAAGGTGCTCATAGCATGGATCATGAAGATATTACCTCAGCAGATGTCAGACAGGCTGCATGTCAAACACTGCAAACAATTTTTTATTTTGCATAGAAGTGGATGTCGTTCCCAAAGATTCCCCAAAGTACAAATTCTAATCTGTGTGTTTAAATTAAGAAGATGAACATCTGCTAAGGAAATCTGCTTCATTTCTGCTCGGAAGTCAGGCTTCCCTCTGGATGCGTAAACAGCGTGTAACATAGGAGAGCCATTTTCCCCGCCAGCTCAGTGGCATAACCCTTCCCGCCACGAGGGTTTTCGACGCAAGTCGGCAGCGAATGTGTTCCACACAGGGAGTCACTTGAGGTCGTGAAATTACCAGAGAATTGCAAGATCATGTGTGATTTCACCAGTTCACACGTTAACAAGCTTTCTCTAATTTCCCTCTGGGATTAATAAAGTATCTTTGAATTTGAAAGCAGGGAGAAGGACCACAGCTTGTATCCCAAAAGTTTTTTTTTTTTTACTCGGTCACAGAATTTTCACAATTAATGACTTTTATTTTCCTTGTTACGCAACTTTACATAGACCCAAAGCGTACATTTACCAGAGTGGCATAACATTAAGCTTCACGGCTGATGGAAAAGCGCCCATAGAGTATATTGATGGTTACGTATTATAACCTACGAGTGTAGCCTTCGCCCTTTATGACTGTTGCTGTTGGGTTATATCCTCATATAGGCCACCAATCACTGAAGAGCTTTTAGTGTGTTCCCGTCTACTGGGCGGGCCCTGGTCCAGTATAAAAGAGACTGAGGACTATTGCTAGTCTCCAAAGGCTTTACAAGCCCCCCCAGAACCAGGGTGGCCCGCCGCCCTAAAAGGCTACATCTGTTTTCATAAAATCTGGAGTTAAAACCCCAACCATCACTCTATTTTGTATAGACTTTGCCATTTAATGCCATCGCTATGGGTTAAAGGCAAAGCAGGATGTAGTAAATGTCTCACTGGTTTAGATCCAACCAGTGGAAACGCATCCATTTCCAAAACCCAAATTAATCGGTACATGTGTTTACAAGCTAACACAGGGAACCTCTTCACTTGGCTCAGTGAAATGGAAGCATGAAGACAAATAGAAAATGAGCAATGGCCCTCGGTTCCTTTTATGCAGGACTACTGGGCGGGCGTACGCTAAATGCTCTTCAGTGATTGGTGGCTTATAAGAAGATATAACCCAAAGCGATGGCCTTAAAGGGCAAAGCCTATATGAAATGGAACAGCAGCTATTAGCGGCGTATTGTGTTTCCTGGACGTTAGGCGTTGTTTACGTATCCTGTGAGATGCCGACACGGAGCTGATGACTAAGCTAAGAGGCTGTAATGTGTCCAGTGGCGAGAGTTTGAGAGGCTGGTGTCAGGATGGATGTGTTCAGATGGATGAGAGAATTTGTAGGATAGGTGGTTATATGAGAAGACCCAAAATGAGATTTGAAAATGCTTTATTTTTTTAATAATAAAACAGGGTTTTCAGATCAAAATCACAATAGTAGTGTTTTTTATTTAATTCCCTAACTTTTAGTCAAACATAATCATGAGAACTAGAAATAAAAGTATGTGTGCATGTTTTGCAATCTCTCTCGTGTGTGTGTGTGTGTGTGTGTGTGTGTGCGCGCGCGCAACTGCATTTATGTTCATGTGATCGTTAAAACATTTTTTTCACTATATATTTTTTTTCCTTTTCCCTTCTCGACAAAACAGCAGAATTACAACATGAAAACAAGCCTGTTAGCCACTGAGATCATTCAGACTTTCACTATTTATAAAAAATAAAATACCAAAGCTAAATGATCCTTGCTTTGGTTAGTTTAGAAAAGCAATAGTACAACAGCATTCAGGCAATCTCATACACGAAAGGAACATTCTCTGCAATAAACATTTAATAATAATCCTCCAGCATTTATAACCAAAGCTGTTTTTTCTGTCTAAAGCGAGGAAAAAATTCTGTGAACAACAGAATATATTTTTGGAAGCTAGCACAGCTGGCTTTAGCTGAAACAATTCCTCTTGTGGATGTTAGGATCCAGAAACTGCAGTTGCAGCACTAGTTGCTAGTTTTCAGGGAAAACATTTTTTATATTTGCAGTAACTGAATCAAACCCCTGAGACCTCTATATACGGTGGTCTGTCAGAAATGCTGCTCTCAAAGAGATTTTCTGTGTAAAAGTTATAAGTATCTAACTCTTAGCCGTAGTTTGCTTCCAAAACTCCGTTAGCGCTTGGCTACCAGCTAAAATAGCTAGAATAGCAAAAATTTCCTACTGATTTATGCAATGTTATTTATAAAATATTAAAAAGCAATTTTAAGAGAACTTTAATTCACTTTTGTCTTTGCTGCACTAAAGATTCGCTTACCGAGTCCCTATTAAAGGCGTGGATCACTAAAAACATTTTTAATGATTATTTCTGAATATAATCGGTCACTCTGAGTTTTTAATGCACGCTGAACATGAAAACAGTCTCCTACATCTATCTTCTGCATAGCTCCTGATAGAAAATAGATGATGATGCACTAGAGATGGAAAATCCCGCAAGATCAACAGTAGCCGTTTTTACAAAACAAGGCCGTCTATTTGCCGCAACGCTGTGGCAGCATCAGGGATCCTTAGGTCGTTTATAAGTGGTCAGACTGGGGTGGTAATGTGGCGCAATCATGTCCATCCATCCATTTTCATCCGCTTATCCAGAGTCGGGTCGCGGGGGCAGTAGCCTAAGGCGAGAGGCCCAGACTTCCCTCTCCACAGCCACTTGGGCCAGCTCCTCCGGGGGAATCCCAAGGCGTCCCTGGCCATGTGAGAGACATAGTCCCTTCACCATGTCCCGGGTCTACCTTTAGGTCTCCTCCCGGTTGGACGTGTCCGGAAAACCTCACCAGGGAGGCGTCCAGGAGGCATCCTGACCAGATGCCCGAACCACCTCAACTGGCTCCTCTCGATGTGGAGGAGCAGCGGGTCAACTCCGAGCCCCTCCCGAATGACCAAGCTTCTCACCCTATCTCTAAGGGAGAGCCGCAGTCATATCCTTTTCATAAAAGACTAGGCAATGGCAGCATAAAGGAGATATGGGGCGGTCTCTGCGATGCCGCAAAGTTTTGTTTATCTTGGACATAACTTGCTTGTTATTGCGATTGAAGCCGCGATCCTTACGTTTTTTTTACAAGCCGCTCCTAAAGGTGCCTGTAGACAGACCATTACTGCAATATTGCTACCAAGCGAGGCAGAACAAATGCCACAAAATTCTCGCAATGCCATGACGGCATAGCGCGTTTATAAGACATAGTGTTGCGGTAATATTACGCCGATTTGCCAGCACGTTGTGTCTTGTAAAAAGGGCTACTGTCACTTAACATTCATGGACTCACCCACCTTGACTCACGAAGGGGAAGGCTGTTGTTAATTTAACATGCAGGAAAGAACAGAGAGCATCTACTAGTAGAAGCTAACTGTTAACATTAGCAACTCCACCACATGGCAAACCTTCTTCAGGCTTGTGTTGTTTGTGGAGATAAAACATCAGCATTGCAGAGTAACCGGAGTCTGTAGTAGAGATGTGTTTCTCTTAGCCGGTCCGGGGCGAGATCCAAATATACAAATCCTGCCGTCTGAAGCTCAACTGTGATGTGGCTCACTTCTAGTTCCTGAATTAGGTGCTCCGGAGCTTTTTTCCCCAGAATACGACTTAAAATGCATTGATTCCTACTAGAGACCTCTGCAAATGTATTGATTAAACGAGTGAACCACACCTTTAACTACAGGCATCAATTACAGACGAATCACGCAGCCAGAGGACATTAGCTTTAAAAATACAACCTTCAGGGGTTAAATAATGTTCAGTTCTTAAAAAACTTTTTAAGTTTTAGATAAAATGGTAAATAATTATAACTTCTGTACAAAAACATGACTAAACTGGCTTTAAAATCATGTTAAAACAGAAGGTTAGCATACATACCCTGACATTAGCAGCTGTGTCTGACTCCGCCCAGCCGTGCCTCGTTGCCACGCCTACATAGTGACCTCGTTAACTTTGTTTCAGGTATCCAATCATAGCCAGCCAGCCTCGCAACAAGCACCTCCTAGCTGAGGTGAAGCAATCAGTTAATTCAGTTAATCCGAACAACCGTTAGCTACCTGCACTTCCTGTTCCTGTCAAAACAAAAGTTTAAAGTTTCTACAAGAAATTCATGATTACACAAAACAATCTGACGTGTGGGAACATAGGAGAGGAAGTGGTATAGTTTCACCAGAAATGTTTTTTACTTTAGTCCCCAAGTTTTTCCTTTTTACCCCCAAAATGTACCGTAATGTGCAATATTTACACTTTACTTGTCCCCTTTGTCGTGCCAAGTGTATGTAGCAGAGTCACACCCTAATATATCATCCTTGTCAAAAGCTTTTGTACTTCCATGTCTGTTTGAGATGATAGTCAGGATGTTTTTACAGAGAAACGCAAACAATCATTTCCCTGTAACTCCCTTTTTTCGCCTGCGTGGCCTTCCTCAATGTGTGTGTCTCCATGTATAGTGTGTGTTCACACACAAATGACTGAGCGTGTGTGTGTGTAGCGTTTTTTTTTTTCTCTTATTGTCCATGAGATCATAAACTCTGAGCCTGAAAGGTTCAAGACCCACAAGTTAATAAAAAACACCTCATCACTAGTGGGGACCACTTTTTCTAATAAAAAATGAAAAATATAAATATACAATCAGCAGAGATGCACATGTAAGTAGATGTAAAAAGACTATTTCAGCACTTTCTAATCCTTGGTTGGGCTCAGACTGAATCCCATCCTGGGAGGTAAAATTCATTCGGAACAGGGAATGACGATGAGAAAAGGAGGTGAACACTGATGATGGCTCAAGTTTTTTGCACACCGCCTTTTGCCGTAACTCTTGTGTTTGTGCTCCGTCTCACTTGGCGCCCGGCGCGTTCTTGGGTCCAACGGGCCGAGGTGTTGGGTGACTCCTTCTTTTCCATGAGAGTGGAAGTCCTTCCTCGTGGAAATCATCCCGTCATCAGCTGTGCGAAGTTTCGTGAGCGTTTTCCCGCCTCACACCAATCAGGCTGGGCCGATCTTTTGCTTTTCATGCGCTCTAGTTTTGAGCTCCGATTTGGCGGAAGTGTTTGACGGCTTGGTTGGTTGTGTGGTGTGGCGTGCGTAAACTTTGGGGCAGTGGGATGTAAACTGTGTAGAGAATGTGTCATTAATTTTATTTTCATTTAGATTGGCTTCTTCTCCCACAACTTGACAAATAAATTGAATGTTCGGTTTTTATTTGACCTGAAAGGACAAAAAGGCACGTGTTCTGTGTCTCTTGATGTTTGTGTTTTTGTTTAGCAGAAAAAAAGACAACAAATGGTATCCTTTTGTTTGCAAAGTGAAAAGGATTTGATCAGAATTCCTCAAATGTCCTTATTCAATGTAATTTTCTTTGTTTCGTTTCCTTTTTGTATGTTTCCTCAATGTCCATAGCGCTGGATAACCTACTCAGGCAGAAAGAATAAAAACGTAGAGACCCACGTAACCCAAATCCGTCTCGACTTTGGGCTGTTTGACGTGGGTCGTATGTAAATTTATCACCGATAATTAGATTTTTCCGGTTGATTTAACAGATGTCTATTGGCAGGTAACTATAAATTATTTTTGTGTAATATGCTGGAGATGCCTTGGACTGAACATTTCCGCTCTGCCTCAGTGCAAAATGAGAAACTCTTCACCAGAGGATTTGGATTGCTTCCTGACCTCTGACCTCTGCCCACTGTCACAGAGGGCGGGGGATGGGTGGTAGGGGAGGGAGGGAGAGCGGCTCGGCCAATTCCCCCCTCCTGTTCCGAGGCTCGTCCTGATTCTGCTCCGCTAACCGAGTTACTAAACTCAAACTTTCCGGACCTTTTGAGACAGAGAACCAGACTTCAGCACAGTCCGGAACGGACAGTCTGGTCTGCACCGGGCCACAGCGAATCCCAGCCAACCCGTTTGTACTATACTGTCCTCACCAAGTCCCCGTGTCTCACCACCCTGTCCCTCTATAGCAACAGAGAAACTGTCGGTGTATATTTGACATTCTGTAAAAATGCACCTCTTTGAAAAGGCAAAATGAAACCTTGACATATCTCAAGAAAATTGACAAATTGTGTCTTTATTTAAGTTTTTTTACACTCGTATATCAACACTTTTACTCAAATGTGTGTTTTTAAAGGTTCCTCACTGCTTCTTGAGTCTGAGCAGGTAATGGCACCCTCTAGTGGATGATGAAGAACTCAACTCTTCTTAAATATAGAAACACACTTTGAACAAAATAAAATGTGTTAAAATTTCTAACTAATTAAATGAAAGGAATTATTAACTTCCCAGTCTGGTGATGGCAGTGAGAAGGTCTTTTCTGCAGGATCAATGCCTTTACAATGCCTCTTGTACCTCATCCCAACCTGTTGCTGAGAATTAAACCACAAAGCTGTAAATAATACCCAGGGGAAAAAACTATGTTGAAGTTTTAGTCCTCCGGTGTTCAAATTAGACTCATGTTCCCTTTAGGGTTAAATATTGGACATCAGGGTAACTGTGTTCATGATTTTGACGCCTTTATTCTAGATTTCCGGTCTCAAATACAGTGGTGCCCCTAGATGATTTTCATAAGGGGGGCCAGTGAAACTTTTGGGGTGGAACACTAAATTGTTCCATGTGGTAGCTCTGGGAGAGTTTAGCCTGTTGTGCATTTCATTGCTTCTTTGTTGTTTTTCATTATAATACAAAAGGCCTTCGCGTCCAACACGTTCATCTAAAATTTGAGAAACTCAAACATTTCAGAAAAAGAAAAAAATTCAAATAGATTTTGTTCAAAATGTTATTGTTTTAGAATTTTAAAACCGCTTAATTTGCCTGTTGCTGTTTCAACAGAACCAACAAAAATGGTCTGTATTTGATATAGCGCCTTCTAGAACCCTGGAACCCCCCAAGGTGCTTTACAACACAATCAGTCATTCACACATTCACACCCTGGTGATGAACTACATTGTAGCTACAGCTGCCTTGGGGCACACTGCCGTACACAGGCGCCACCGGTCCCTCCGACCACCACCAGCAGGCAAGGTTGGTTAAGTGTCTTGCCCAAGGACATGACAGCGACAGACTGAGCGGGGCTCGAACCTGCAACCTTCCGATTTTGGAGCGAGCACCTAACTCCTGTGCCACCGTCACCCCATTTATTTATTTTTGAAAACCAGTGATTCATCATTTAATAAATTGTGTTAGACTAAAATCATTTTTTAAATTTATATTAAAATACATTTATTTATTAGCTTTAACTTTTATTTCTTTAACATGTTGAATGTGTGAGCATGAATGTGATTTATGGTGCATTCCAGTTGTCGTCTGAACTCGTTTTTTTGTAGATGAGTTAGCCGGAAATTACGCAATGAACTCGGAATTCCAAGCTGCGAGCTCATAGGTTTCAGAGTACCCCGAGATCCCAAATTTCAAGATGGCTGCACCCAGTGCTAACAAGAAGTAGTTATCATCTTTATTTTGTTTCTTATTAATATGTATTATATCCCTATGTAACAGCACCTGTAAGCTGTTTATTGTTATCAATAGTTGTTGAAATTTTTAACATTACTGCCAAAGTTGACCGGTGTTTATGGTTTTTACTTTTCCAGGCGTTCATATTTTTCCATTTTATTTGTAATGTTTATCTGGTTGTATGTGGCAGCTGTCGAAGGGCGTGTGTGTCGTTATCATTTAGATGCAGAGATTACTTGGTTATATAATTATTTTGGTTTAGTACTCAACAACACTGGTGGCATCCATTTTTTCCAAGTTGGAAGCTGGAATGCAAAACAAGCCCATTACGTCATTTCTTGCTTGGAAATTCCAAGTTCCGAGGACAACTGAAACACAGTTATTAAGGGGGGATGGCCTTCTCTGTGGCCCCCATAACCACCCTTTGGGGGCACCACTGCTCAAATAAGAAAAACTGACTGTTTTTGCTGATTCTTCTCTGATTCTTCTAAAATATATATCTAATTTCTCACATGTCCTCTGGATTAACACTTGTGTACTCTTGTGGAGAACTTCTGCCCATGAAGGGGCCAAATCCAGTCCTAAACATGTCTACTGCCCTCTGGTGGTGGACCAAGAGTCAAATGTATTACTCTGTTATTGTTAAATAATGTCATAATTAAACAAAACTGCATATTTAGCTGGTTTATTAACTTTAGCTACTAACTAGTTTTAAAAACTAGATTTTCAGACTTTAACGCAAAGGAGGCCGGTTTACAAATATGTAACCATAACAACCAATGTACAGGTGTGGACTGGGAGCAAAAACCTCCAAAATCCCTTTTTGTACTGGTAATCTCTGGTAATTGTTCCCAATGTTAAAGTTGGGACATCGCTGGGGGTAATGAAACTCAAGTTTCATGGTGCCTATCTCCAGCAGTCAACGGGCAAGTAGGCGGGGTACATCCTGGACAGAGAGCCAGTCCATCGCAGGGCAGCACAGAGACACACAGGACAATCAACCATACACACACACACTCACACCTAAGGACAATTTAGACAGACCAATCAACCTAACAGTCATGTTTTTGGACTGTGGGAGGAAGCCGGAGTACCCGGAGAGAACCCACGCATGCACAGGAAGAACATGCCAACTCCACGCAGAAAGATCCCAGGCCGGGAATCAAACCCAGGACCTTCTCGCTGCAAGGCAACTGCTCTAACCACTGCGCAGCCCCCAAAATAAATACATTAAACTATGATTGGAGTTTGAATGATGGGGCAGCTAGGGGGAGCCCAGCTCCCCCAAAACGATAATGGACTCCCCCGGAAGCCTTCCAGGGGAAGCCAGTAAACGATATCAAGATGTTTTTAAATCAAAACTCAAAAAGCCAAAAGCAAATGGATTCATAATTTATTTTCCATACAGAGAAGACATACATCCATCTTTCATTGTTACCTTCATTGCAGCAAACAATGAACCTCTTGGGTTTAAAGTGCAGTAAATGTTAAAGGTTAAAGGGTTTTTTGTACTGAACATAGACACTTCAATGCAGGAGAAGAAGGCACAAATTGTGCACATGCTTGATCTGAAATATCGGGCACAGTGGAAGCAGTGAAGACGACTCCAACGTGTCTGGAAGCAGCCGGATCTCAAATATGCTGAACGTGTAAAGGATTTTAATCCTAAGTGTTTGGTTCTCATCAATGTAGCATTCAAAACAGCCCAAATAAAGTACATGCACACAGACGCAATCACCACAAGAAGATTAGACGACGAGAGGTTCTGCACCGATAATTACGGATCTGGATTCTCCACGTATGTGCTGATTTACCCCCTGATTGATCTGATCAAGACTCAAGTTATTAGGCTTTTTATCCCTTCGTATCCAAACTGGGATGCATCTATCCTGCAGGTTTTGGCTCCATCCATCATGGAGACTGGAAGTATGTAAATTCACATTTTCTGCTGTGAAAAGTAGTGGAAATCTTTGTTAAAGTAGCTTTTGGACAGCAGAACGTCTTGGGTTCCTCTGCTTTACATGTGGACTCGGCATAGACATGCACATAGCATCATGATGTAGCCAACGTGTGTTTGTAAAGGTTTCAGGGTTGCTGTGTGTTCTCTCCTAAGTGAACATTTGGCTGGACTGTTGCGTGACGCGGATGAAGGTGGTTCTGCGGCTCAGTTCCTTGAGTTTGGCCGCGCCCACGTAGGTGCAGGTGGAACGAAGACCCCCCAGAATGTCGCGGATTGTGTTTTCTACGTCTCCTCTGTAAGGAACCTCCACCGTCCGCCCCTCAGATGCCCTAAAGGACAGCAAAGGTGAATTAAAATGATCCTCATATAGTTACAGGAATCTTGAAAACCCCAGTGGTGAAGTATGTGGAGCCTAACCTGTACTCCGCAACGCCGCCCACGTATTTCTTCATGGCTGTGTCGGAGCTCATGCCGTAGAAGAGTTTGTACTTCTTGCCATTCTTCTCTATGAGCTCCCCAGAGCACTGGTCGTGGCCTGCCAGCATCCCTCCCATCATCACAAAGTCCGCCCCGGCACCTGAGGAGAAGTAGGACAGAAGAAGTGTGCATACACAACACAAAGCAGGCCTATTCAATTTCTGTCCTTGAGGGTCACTATCGGGAATGTTTTAGTTGTCTCCCTTCTCCAACACACCTGATTAGATTGTTAAATCAGGTAATAATCAGGTTTCTCTGCCTAAATACATCTGGTTTTTCATTGGTGGGTTGTGCAGGGCTTGCTGACCACCTGAATATGTAAATCAGTTGTTGAATCAGGTGTGCCGGAGCAGGAAAACATCTAAAACATGCTGGATAGTGGCCCTCCAGGACAAAACCTCCAACATTCACACTCACCAAAAGCCTTTGCAACGTCTCCAGGGCAACTGCAACCTCCATCCTAAAGCAAAGGTACATGAGTAAATTTTATGGACTAAAATGTTTTTTTTAACGTTTGCGATATGAGCTTACAGAGATGATGTGTCCTTTGAGTCCATGTGCTGAGTCTGCACACTCTATAACAGCGCTGAGTTGTGGATAACCCACACCTGTCTTGATCCTTGTTGTGCACACAGAGCCTGGACAGATGCACGTTAATGATTCGTTAAATAGAAGTTCATATTCCTGCAGGTATTCATTTGCTATGATCTGAGCATGTGCAGATTCTCTAGGGTGGACTCTTTAGAATGTGGCTTTTCAGTTCTTCCCTTTTTTTTCCATGAACACACCTGGTTTGAATCAATGAATGATTAACAGGCTTCTGAAGAACTTGGACAGGCAGAAGAAGTGATTCAACCAATCAATCAGATGTGTTAGAGCAAAGAAATAATTACTAAAACATGCAAGGCAATTTAAAGGTCCTATTTTAGCCCCTACCTGGCCCTATGCCCACTTTGATTATATCGGCTCCAGAAAGGATGAGCTCCTCCACCATCTCTCCAGTCACTACATTTCCAGCCTGGAACCCAGACAACATCATCACCAAACAGCTGGTTGGAGCCACGCTGCTGTCTGGAAAGGGCACCTTCTTACCATGATGGTATGTTTGGGAAACTTTTCTCTCACTGTCTTGACAAACTCAACAAAATACTCTGAGTAACCATTGGCCACATCCAGACAGATGTACTTGAGGGCAGGAACGGCTTCTAGGACGGCACACAACTTCTCCAGATCTGCGTTTCCGCTCCCTGAGCTGGCAGCTATGCGCTGTGGGAAAATATGACCTGCTTTCAGTGAACAAACTTTTTTCACCAGTTTTCTAATATATTAAAATAATAAATATTCAAATGTTCTAATAATAATTAATTATTATATATCAAGCTGCACCTGACTAAAATAGTTTTTAATAAAAAAAAGTTGCTTGGGTGCAAAATGTCTTGAGCGATTAAAACTGATTAATCAAGATTAATTAATTACAAAGCCTCTAATTAATTTCAGTAATTTATTTAATGAAGTCCCACCCCTAATACAGACAGTATAATAATAATAATTATATATATATGATTTTATTTTTTTTATAATTATTTTTTTAACCCTCTATAATGGAGATCTCACCTCTAAGCATTCTGGGTGATTATCAGCAAAGGTTTTCCATTCTTCAACAGAGTAGTGCTTATGAATGGCTGTGAAGAGAGTGTGCTAAAGACAAACAGGTCAGAGAAACTCAAACTTCCTACAGTTCATAGTTACATTTTAAACTGAGCTACAGGAAACTGTCACTCACTTTACTGAAGACTTTTGCCATCTCAAATGTTCCTGTGGTGTCCATGTTGGCCACGATGATGGGGATCCCTGTGTAGGTCTGCTTGGAATTACGGAATGTAAACGTCCTCTGGAGGTCAACCTGAAATAAAGATGTGTTCTATCATAGCTGCTCTGGTCACATTTCATTCTTCACCCTCAGTTTTTGCTGCTCCATCCTTGGTGTGGTCTAGCTTAATATATGGGGTTAAATTAGGTCCAAAACTAATTACGGAATCTCTTGTGGCATTCTGAGGTTGTGTTTGTGTCAAAAGTATAGGCAAAAGATGTCAATGCATGTTTGAAAACGTTATTTCAGCAGATCAATTCTCCACTTTATACACCCGTTGGTGAATTTTATATTGTTGAAAAGCCTTATTAGTCACCTTCACATTTGGGCGACGGTGACACAGGAGTTAGGTGCTCGCCCCATAATCAGAAGGTTGCAGGTTGCAGGCTCAGTTCGTCTCTGTCATTGTGTCCTTGGGCAAGACACTCACTTAACCCCCATTGCTTGCTGCTGGTGGTGGTCGGAGGGACCGGTGGCACCAGTGCTCGGCAGCCTAACATCTGTCAGTGCACCCCGGGCAGCTTTGGCTACATCATAGCTCTTCCACACCAGTGTGTGAATGGGTGGATGACTTTTTGTATTGTAAAGCACCTTGGCGGGTTCCTGGACTGTAGAAGGCACTTTATCAAATACAGGCCATTCAGATAAAACTTAATATGCATCAATACAACTGCCGCATAGTTCATTCCATAGTTGCACAGATGTAAATGTGATAAATCAACTTTTTCAGTCACATAAAACACATCATCGTCAGTAAAAGAAATTACTGTAAAACTGTGTATTTTCCAAACATTCCAGGAGGACATTTTTAGCATTACAGTTTTTCTCAATTGCTATAACACTAAAATCCATTGACTGAAGAAAGTTCTCAGTTGCTTGAACTCATTAAGCTGACCGTTGAGCCTGTTGTCAAAATCGTAAACTTCACACGGTTTAGCAAAACTCTAAACGCATTCTCATTCTTAAAACACATTCTGCACTCTAACGTACATAACAGTAAACACAAGTGGCACACATTTACCCATAACAAGAGCACAAATGTCATTGAACATAATCAGTCAAAATAGATTTCTCTTGTTTCAAATGATGTGACAACCAATATAAGCAAGTTCAGAGAGCAAACAGGTTGTTGAGGGTGGGAATGAGAAAGTGTGACGATGGATAGAAGAATTCATGTGAGAGGACGAGGACGTACGCGAGGTGGGGGATGAGGAGGAGGGCAAGACAAAGAGTGGAAATATCCAATGAAATATGTGCAACAATCATAGGCCATGTTGTTGTCCATGGGCTGACAACGAGGGAAGCTGGCCTTAGATTGCAACCAAATTTGAGCCTCAGGAGGGAAAATATTGCATGTGATGTTGATGAAGTGCTTTGGCCTGACCCAGCCCACAGACAAGAAGAGGCTCATTGTTGGCATGTTTAGTCCTTTGATGTTTTTCATTTCGTGTTTTTTTTTCCACTGTCATTGAACACTGTAGCGCAATGGACTGCAGGCTGTTTATGGTACAATAAACAAATGGTATGGCCCTGAACATTTTGCTTTCTATTATTTGGTGTATTGTTTACTGACTGCTTGATGGTGTCTGTAATTTAGAGTAATTTCTTTATGAATTGAGAGTAGTGTTTAATTTTGAGCACAGCTAAATCTGTTTTGAGGCGAAAGTTTGATTTTGCAAGAGGAATGAGAGGTTGTGTAAACCGTGCTTGAAGCTGAGGTTTTGTGTTTAATGTTTTGAGAAAAGGGAGCAAGGTCTCAGGAATTGTGCTTTAGCAGTTGAGAGAAACTGTAATTAAACCCCATATTTACGAGTCAGTATCTGTTTTTACCACAAGTGAGTAGTTTGGAAACTCCTTTGCATGTCTGGCAATCCACTAAGCCACTACCTACGTTTAGCTGCTGTTTGCAAATGATTTTGAACTTGTTGCAGAAAGTGTTGGTGACCTGTACGTAAAAATGTAAGAGTATGTTAAAATTATAGTGCATTACAGCAGAATGCTGCTTTCGTGTTGAGCTGATTAATTTGTTCTGTGCAAACTAGCACCTTCCAGCGAGCTTGGAAGGTGCACCACAGCTGTCCGAGTGAAACTGTTCTCAGAGCTGCAGTTAAAGTTTGGCAATAACTCATCAAGTCACAGAGAAGGAAAGGAGTGTGTGGACGAGGAGGAAGGAACATTCAGTGCAGCATACTCATTTTTCTGATTCAGCAAAAGATAGATCTTGGTTTTCAGCCAATTCTGCTGACTCATGCTGCCTTCCTTTCTGCTAGAAAATGACTGAACATGACATATGGAAACTAACAGGCTTCAGTTTGATCATCAGAAATGTGAAAACTACAAAAATCGTCTTTGTTATGAAGAAATGGTTTCCCTAGTTGGAGTTGTATGTTGAAGAAGAAGAAAATATCTTTTCTATAGCGCCTCTCAAGATAAAAATCACGAGGCGCTTCACAAAAACAAAAGTGTAAAAATGTAAAAAAATGAATTTAGAAAATGGTTAAAAATATATTTAAAATGACCGAAAAAATGGACAGTTGTGATTAAAAATGTTAAAGAGAGAGAGAGTGAATAGGAAAGAGGGAAATCAGTGGATCCTGAGGAAGGTGGAATAGGTGGGGAGAGCAGAATAAAGAGAGAGAGGTGAAGAAGGTCATACAAAAGCCAGCTTGAACAAGTGAGTCTTCAGCTGCTTTTTAAAGGAGACCACTGAGTCCACTGATCTCAGGCTCAGGGGGAGAGAGGTCCTGAGTCTGGGGGCCACAGCAGCAAATGAGCTGTCAGCTTTGGTCTTTAGCCTGGTGCTGCACAACCAGTAGGCTTTGGTCACTGGACCTCAGGGACCTGCTGGGGGTGTAGGGACTAAGAAGATCACCAATGTAAGATGGTGCTTGTCCATGTAAGGCCCTATAGACCAGAACCAGGATCTTGAAATGAACCCTGAAGTTGACTGGCAGCCAGTGAAGCTGGAGGAGAAGCGGGGTGATGTGGGTGTGTTTGGAGGACTTGGTCAGAAGCCGAGCACAGGTGTTCTGAACCACCTGTAGACGGTTCAGGGAGGTTCTGCTCACACGTGAAAAGAGAGTTACAGTAGTCTAAGCGTGAGGAGATGAAGGTGTGGAGAACTGTCTCAAGTTCAGAGCGGGACAGAATGGGACTCAGATTAGCAATGTTCCTGAGATGGAAGAAGGAGGAGCGAACAAGAGAACTGACACGAGAATCCAGGGTCAGAGCTGGGTCAAAGGTCACGCCAAGATTCCTGTTCCAGATTCCAGATTTAGCTGTGCTCAAAATTAAACACTACTCTCAAATCATAAACAAATTACTCAAAATTACATACACCATCAAGCAGTCAGTAAACATTACACCAATGTTCCACGTTGTGATAACATCTGGCTGACTTAACCGAAGGTTCTTTTGTGACGTCAATGTTTGTTTCTCGCATTGCATCATGGGATTGTGTGGCACCAAACTGCGTATTTAGCCTACAATTGAAGTGTTTAGCACACTTGGAGGAGGATTTAGCAAAGCAGAGGCATCATTCTGGCTGTGTGGCTGATTGTTTGGCCCGTGGGAGGCTTGATTAAAAAGTGGGGCTGCCTTGCAAATTTCAGCGTAGGCTTACAGCTGTGCTTTGTCATAAAGTAGTCCCAAGTCTAAAATGGCGCTGGTGATTCCTTTGTTACCAATTATTTTCACTGGCAGTCAGTCTGATTATTTAGGTCACCAAGCAGAATTGAGATCACTTCCGAGTGATTTCAAGGACTTGTTTGCTCACAGTGCTAGTTGAACCCATTCACTTACTGTGTTTTATGCTAAGCTAAAGCTAAAGGAGTACAGCCAGGTCAGGAGAGTGACTGGGGGGGTTACAAATTGTTGTTTTTTTTCCCACTTTTCTTACTCTGTGTGAACAAAGTTTCACTTTTGGGTGGAATATCCCTTTGAAGAACAGAATTCATGGTTCCATTAGTTACAGCAAGTGCTCCAGATTCTGAGGTAGAAAAGCAGCCCCAGACCATCACACTGCCACCACCGTGTCTGACTGGAAAAATCTGATTGATTCTTAGTTTCAGGTGACAAAGTTTTTATTGTTTTGAGTCAGTTGTTCCTCACAAATGTGGGGTGTCCTGAAAAAGGAAGAAGCTGTGTCACTAAAGGACTAAACAACCTGATTTGAGATTTGAGGTTGCCACCCTCCCCTTAATTTTCTTTGGGGGGGGGGGGGGTGGGGGGGGGGGTGATTTTTTTGAACATGTTGTTACAGTACACACATATCTGAGTCATATGGAATGTGTTCTATCACACACACACACACACACACACACACACACACACACACACACACACACACACACACACACACACACACACACACACACACACACACACACACACACACACACACACACACACACACACACAGCCCTATTTTTAAACAGTGTTTCTGAGAAGTCTCCTGCGCTTCATGTTGCTTGCCAGCTCCCACCTACTCTCCTTTCCCCAATCCCAATCTAATCCCACCAAACGTCCATCAGCACCGTGACCTGGCTCAGATCGTGTGATGGATATTAAAGCTGGGAGTTAATTACGTGGAAGAGTTTTGCTTTGTCTCAGACAGTTGAGTCCAAAATACATTTATCTACCTTTTTTAAATACATGAAATCAGATCTGATATTTTAGTAGTTTTCCTGTTTATTTAATTAGGGGTGTTTTTTTTTTTTTTGGTTACAGCTGCTCGCTGACCAGCTGATCTTGTCTGCGGTCACATTTTTAGAAGGTCACCTCACAGTTACACGGCCCAGGCTCCCCAAAACTTTAGAGTCTGGAGAATTCTGCCGGCTCTGAGCTGCTTTTCTGAGCCGTCTCTTAGGGATCACGAGATAGATGAATGCCACTGGTGCAGCTTCAAAGTTAAACATGAACTAAATAATCAGCAGCACTGACCTCTGAGCGACTCTTTAGGCTGCTCCTTTTGGGTCGGAACAGGACATCCTTGAAGTCCAGCTTGAGGTCAGCGTCCACTCGAGGCATCTTGGATGTCCAGAACAGTGATGAGGATGATGAGTGAAAGGAGGAGACTCGCCTGAGTAGGAAGGCTGCTGCTGCGGTGGATGCTGGTCCCAAGCCCCGACCACCAAACCCGAACCTGCAGGCGGCCACCGTATTTATAGCTAAAGGGGACCCAGCCCAGATCTGGCCCCCATGGCTTTATTTGGGCCTGGACTCTCCCTCTCTTCCCCTCTCTCCCGCCCTCTTCCTCCAGCTCCCCTGTTCTCTTTGCCTCCTCTCCTCCAGTAGAGTGGCAGGAGCAGCGGTGTCTGAGCCCAGCTGTCCCATCTGCTGACTCACACACACACACCCATACACACACACTTCAGAGCACAGAAACACTGCAGCGGCTTGATGTGCTGCAGTGCTCAGAGCACACCTGCTGTCCAGTTGGAGAATCGCTCCGTCTTCAACTGGAGGACACGAGAGGACGGGGACAAAATGTGCTTTGCCAAAGGCAGGATGAGAGACTGAAGCAGCAGGAGGAGGAGGGGGGTGCAAAGGAAATGCAAAATTAATTCATCTTGCTTTCAGAAGGATTTATTTTAAATGCATAAATTGAACATTTGCATATTGTATTCATTTTTACATGTTTATATTTCTTAAATATTTTTAAATATTTTGCAAGAAGGTTTGGAAACAAAAACCTTTTTTTTTTATTGGTTGGCACAGGGACTAGAATAATGGTGAACAAATGCAGGTGTAAAGAGCTGTTTAATTAAACAATCATTGTAGCAATCATGCAGATTAGATGAAATTCAATTTCTAACTTTTTAAAATATTCAAACCTTAAAATTTATTGAATTTATTTTACATATAAGGAACAAATTTGGATACAAATGGGATTTTCAGCCCTTTAGATAGAAGAAAAATGCTAACGAGCTGCATATCTCACATCTGTTTTTCTGCCAGACAAAAATAAATGATTCATATAAGCAAGGATGATAAAAAATGTCTCAGTCACTGTTTAAATTTTGCAAATGTGTCCAACATTTATTTACAGGAGCAAAAAAATGTTCTATAGTAAACCAGAGTTTTTAAAAGAAATATAAAGTCAATAATAGTGATACTTTTATTTTATATTATTTATTATATATTTATATATTATTTATATTTATTTATATTAATGTATTATATAAAGAAACTCACAAAATGTTGATTCCTGAGGAGTAATCTTAACTTGTCTGTTATTCGGCTCATTTATTTCTCTATTTTGTCTTTATAATTATTTTTTTTGCATGATGCAGATAAGAAAATTATGCAAATGAAAATAAACACAGCGATATTTCCTTTAAACACATTCGGGTGACTAAAGTTGTGAATTTGTCCTTTTATTTAAATTTGTTTTAATTTTCTTTTTACACATTTTTTTATTCCGTTTTATCCATCCATCCATTTTCATCCGCTTATCCGGAGTCGGGTCGCGGGGGCAGTAGCCTAAGGGCGAGAGGCCCAGACTTCCCTCTCCCCAGCCACTTGAACCAGCTCCTCCGGGGGAATCCCAAGGTGTTCCCTGGCCAGGTGAGAGACATAGTCCCTCCACCGTGTCCTGGGTCTACCTTTAGGTCTCCTCCCGGTTGGACGTGCCCGGAAAACCTCACCAGGGAGGCGTTCAGGAGGCATCCTGACCAGATGCTTGAGCCACCTCAACTGGCTCCTCTTGATGTGGAGGAGCAGCGGGTCTACTCCGAGCCCCTCCCGATGACTGAGCTTCTCACCCTATCTCTGAGGGAGAGCCCAGCCACTCTTTGGAGAAAACTCATTTTGGTCGCTTGTATCCGCGATCTCGTTCTTTCGGTCACTACCCAAAGCTCATGACCATAGGTGAGGGTAGGAATGTAGATCGACCGGTAAATCGAGAGCTTCGCCTTCTGACTCAGCTCTCTCTTCACCACGACAGACCGGTACAACGCCCGCATCACTGCAGATGCAGCACCAATCCGCCTATCGATCTCATGCTCCAGTTTTCCCTCACTCATGAACAAGACCCCGAGATACTTAAACTCCTCCACTTGGGGCAGGACCTCATCTCTGACCCGGAGAAGGCATTCTACCCTTTTCCGAATCAAGACCATGATCTCAGATTAAGAGGAGCTGATTCTCATCCCAGCTGCTTCACACTCGGCTGCGAACCGCTCCAGTGAAAGCTGAAGATCACGTTCTGATGAAGCCAACAGGACCACATCATCTGCAAAAAGCAGAGACCTGATCCTCAGGCCACCAAAACGGATGCCCTCCACATCTTGGCTGCACCTAAAAATCCTGTCCATAAAGGTTATGAACAGAATCAAAGGGCAGCCTTGGCGGAGTCCAACTCTCACTGGGAACGAGCCCGACTGTTACAACCTGTCTAGGAGGGGCCAGGCCACAACATGAAGGTGGATTCCCATTTTCCACAGATCCCCAGTACCACACCACAGTTTGACTTATCTACAAGGATATTTATTTACAAGTTTTATATTAACTGAAAGCGAGGGAGGATAAATATAACTCAGGGTGAACCAAAGGCCAAAACAACAAACAAAACACCCCTAACTTAAATAATCATCTTGCCTACAAAATAAAAGAAAAAGAAATACAACCAAACTTACCTCCTTGATTACAAACACAGGAGAAAACTGAATGAATAAATTAAATGGCAGGTTCACGCCTACTTTCCTCAAGTTTAACAACAGGTCTGGTCTTAACACAGCACTCAACGATGAAACAATGAAAAGAGAATGAGGATCAGCTGCAGGTGGTGTTGGCATCCCTCTTAGAGATCTGCTCCCATCAATTATCCAATCAGGACTCTCCCCATGCCACTGGTTCACCAATCAGATGTCGGCACCTGCACTAAGAACCACAAAGCATTTCCTGTAGTACAATAATTTACAACCTTTGGTTGCGATACCGACTTACTGCCGGCAATGCAGACCAAGCTCTGGCACCGGTCATACAGGGACCTAACAGCCCGTATCAGAGGGCCTGAGTACCCCCCACAGGCACCCCTGAGGGACCCAGTCAAACGCTTTCTCCAAATCCACAAAGCACAATGAGACTGGTTGGGCAAATTCCAACGCAGCCTCCAGGATCCCCCTAAGGGTATAGAGCTGGTCCAGTGTTCCAATGCCAGGACAAAAGCCACATTGCTCCTCCTGAATCTGAAGTTCAACAATCCGATGGACCCTCCTCTCCAGAACCCCTGAATAGACCTTACCAGGAAGGCTCAGGAGTCTGATCCCCTGTAGTTGGAGCACACCCTGCGGTCCCCCTTTTTACATCAGGGGACCACCACCCCGGTCTGCCAGTCCAGTGGGACCGCCCCTGATGTCCACGCAATATTGCAGAGCCGCGTCAGCCAACACAGCCCCACAACATCCAGAGCCTTAAGGAACTCCGGGCGGATCTCATCCACCCCTGGAGTCTTGCCACAGAGGAGCTTTTTAACCACCTCAGTGACCTCAGCACCAGAGATTTGAGAGGCCAACCCAAAGTCCCCAGACTCTGCTTCCTCACTGGAAGACGTGTCGGTGGGATTGAGGAGGTGTTCGAAGTATTCTGCCCACCGATCCACAACGTCCTGAGTAGAGGTCAGCAGCACACCATCCTCACTATAGATAGTGTTGGTAGCGCACTGCTCCCCCCCCCCCCCCCCCCCCCCCCCCCGAGGCGCCGGATGGTGGATCAGAATCTCCTCGAAGCCGTACGGAAGTCTTGCTCCATGGTCTCACCAAACTCCTCCCATGCCCGGGTTTTTGCCTCGGCGACCATCCAAGCCGCGTTCCGCTTGGACTGCCGGTACCCGTCAGCTGCCTCTGGAGTCCCACAGGCCAAAAATACCTGATAGGACTCTTTGTTCAGCTTGACAGCATCCCTAACCGCCGGTGTCCACCAGCGGGTTCGGGGGTTGCCACGACGACAGACACGGACGATCCTGCGACCACAGCTCTGGTCGGCCGCCTCAACAATGGAGGCACAGAACAGGGTCCATTCAGACTCAATGTCCCCCGCCTCCCCTGGAACATTTTGGAAGTTCTTTCGGAGGTGGGAATTGAAGCTCCTTCACACAGGAGACTCTGCCAGACATTCCCAGCAGACCCTCGCGATACGTTTGGCTTGCCCGGTCTGACCGGCATCCTCCCCCACCATCTGAGCCAACTCACCACCAAGTAGTGGTCAGTTGACTGCTCCGCCCCTCTCTTCACCTGAGTGTCCAAGACATGCGGCCGCAGGTCAGATGAAACAACAACAAAGTCGATCATCGAGTTGCGGCCTAAGGTATCCTGGTGCCAAGAGCACATATGGACACCTTTACATCTGAACATGGTGTTCATTGTGGACAATCCATGACGAGCACAGAAGTCCAATATCAAAACACCACTCAAATTCAGATCAGGGGTTCCTCCCAACCGCAGCGCTCCAGGTCTCACTGTCGTTGCCCATGTGAGCGTTAAAGTCCCCCAGCAGAACGAGGGAGTCACCAGAAGGAACGCTTTCCAGCACCCCCTCCAAGGTCTCCAAAAAGAGTGGGTAGTCTGAACTGTAGTTTGGTGCATAAGCACAGACCACAGTCAGAACCCGTCGCCCCACACGTAGGCGGAGGGAGGCTACCCTCTCATTCACTGGGGTAAACCCCAACGTACAGGCACCAAGATGGGGGTCAGCTAGTATGCCCACCCCTGCTCAGCCCCTCTCAGTGGGAGCAACTCCAGAGTGGTATAAAGTCCAACCCCTCTCGAGGAAACTGGTTCCAGAGCCAGAGCCATGCGTTGAGGTGAGTCCGACTATATCTAGTCGGAACCTCTCAACCTCACACACCAACTCAGGCTCCTTCCCCACCAGAGAGGTGACATTCCAAGTGCCAAGAGCCAGCTTCTGCAGAGGATCAGACCGCCAAGGTCCCCGCCCTCGACTACCACCCGTCACACACTGCACCCGACCCCTTTGGCCCCTCCCACGAGTGGTGAGCCCATAGGAAGGGGGACCCACGCTTCCTCTTCGGGCTGTGCCCAGCCGGGCTCCATGGGTGAAAGCCCGGCCACCAGGCGCTCACCAACGTGCCACACCTCCAGGCCTGGCTCCAGAGGGGGGCCCCGGTGACCCACGTCCAGGCGAGGGAACATGGTGTCCATTTATATAATTCATCATAAGAGGTCTTCGGGCTGCTCTTTGTCTGATCCCTCCCCTAGGACCTGTTTGCCATGGGTGACCCTACCAGAGGCAGAAAGCTTCAGACAACTGGGATAATTCCATTTTAATTTGATTTAATTTTACCTTAATACAATTTTAATTTCATACATTTTTTTATTTTATCCAATTTTGTTCTCTTTGTTTCAAATTCACTAATGGAATTTTTCTCATTTAATTCTCTTTTATATTATTTAATCTTACAATTTATTTTCTATTTCTGTTTTTCTTTATATTTTCAGCTTATTTAATTACACCATAAGAAATATTGACAGTTTTTCTCATCAGTGGCCAGCAGATCAAACCTTGACCACTAGGTGTCAGTGCAGCCACAGAAAACAGCTGCCACATAAGGAACAGGGGCCTGTCGCTCAGGAGGCTCTTCGTAGGAGAGAAAAAACATTTATAAGACAAAACTACATCTTGGAGCTAAAGCTTATGTAAAGGGGCCTTTGGGGAAAATTAAAAATATAAATTAAATGTTTTTTTTAAATAATAGAACTGAAATAACTAAACAGGAGTCAAATCAAATAGCCTTTTTTTAGCTAAATTGTCTACGTTTCTCTGTTGTTCAGATAACATTTAAGCCAGAGATATGAGATAAGGCTGTTGTACGTTAATAAACCCCATGCCACTTTTTTACTGTACCGATAAGACCTGCTGAAGAAGAGCAGACCTTTAAAATGAGCTGATAAGAAGAGAACAGCTCAGCTCGGCTGCGTCAGCGGGCTGCAGCCTCAGCTGGAGCCTCAGGTGTTTGGTTGACAGCAGAACAGGAAACACGCAGGTGTTTACGGCTTGTTTTGAAATAGATGACTCTTACTATTTCACTAAAATATGCAATGTAAGGCTGAAAGCTGCAACGTCATCAGTCTGGGGTTTTTCTTTGTGCATGCATGTTTTTATTTTTGTTCTTTTCGCGCGCGCGTGTGTGTGGTGTGTGTGTGTGGGGGGGGGCAGATGTTTTTAGTGTAGGACTTTTTGGGGGGCGGGGGGTGGGTTGATTTTTTTTGGCAGAATAATTCTGAGAAAATCTGCAGCAAACTCGTTTATTAACTGAGTGCACATGTAAACCTAAACCTAAAGGGATCTGCGGAAGAGCAACATGCAGCTTAAATCATGCAACATGTTGCCTGTCATCTTCATCCTCTGAGACAACACAGATGCACGCACAAACTCTCACAGATGGGACGGTCTCGGCCCAGATCACCAGCTGATGACGCCCCGTTTGCCCAAAAGGAACTTACCTGGGATTTCTGCTTCATGTGTGTCACCGGGACAGGCAGATGGAGGTGGGAGGGTGAGGATCTTTGATGTTCTTTTTTAATTGGCACGAGTTGAAATGATCAGAACTTAAAATTTTTATTAGCAGAGCGTATGGAGCTAGCTCCATAATATGGAGCATAAGAGCGGTTCAGGCAACGAGGATTAGGGCATGGAGAAGACAGAAAAACATCTGCAGCAGGTTGTAAACGTGATCAAAGTCCCAAAAGTCTCATAAAGCGAGTGAATATTTAATCAGCAGCTTTCTTTTCATTTATTTTTTGGTTACTAATTTCTGGTGTGTGCTCAGAAAACTGACCCAGATGTTTCAACAGAAACGTGACTTTCTGCATGCAGCCCAGAACAACTGAAATGGATAGATATGGATCTGTTATGATGGGGAGGGGAATGCTGCTTTATCATTTGACAAACTTTCCAGCAGGAACATTTAGCTGCGTCATTCCATCCTTCTCCAACCAGATCCCGACTGAAGCATGCTTCCTGTGTTTTTCCCGCGTTTTTTGGATTTAGGACAACAACTAATAACAATTTAAAGTTTTGGTTTGGAGAAATCCTGCAGAAGCCAAAAGTAAAACAGGATTTCAGCCCACACGTGTTATGCATTTATGACGAAATGCAGCACAGCATTTAAATGTGTTCATATTTCCTGTTTGTTGCAGTGATTAAAAAAATATTGGAGCAATTTTAGTTGTTTCATGTTTATTTGGGCTACATGCTACATTCTGTAACTTTGTTTTTTTTTAAGAGCAAGTTTACTGAGAAACCATTTTTACTTATTAATCTTGAAAATGATCAGTCACGCTGAGTTTAACATGCAGACTAAACATGAAAAAAGTCTTGTACCCTTAAGTCCTGCATTAGCTTGTGGTAGAAAACAGATGGAAGAATGCTCCGTTCAGAATATCCTGACAGAGCTACGTCACACTGTCGCATTTATGGACTCACCCATCTTGACTGACGATGGGAAGACTGTTGTTGGTTTAGCATCTGGGAAACAGCAGAAAACATCTCAGCTAGTAGAAGCTAACTGTTAGCATTAGCAACTCGAGAGCAGAGAACCTCTCAGCTAGTAGAAGCTAACTGTTAGCATTAGCAGCTCGAGAGCAGAGATCGTCTCAGCTGGTAGAAGCTAACTATTAGCATTAGCAACTCGAGAGCAGAGAACGTCTCAGCTAGTAGAAACTGTTAGCATTAACAACTCAAGAGCAGAGAAAGTCTCAGCTAGTAGAAACTGTTAGCATTAGCAACCCCACCACTTAGCAGAACTCCTCCAGGCGTGTGTTATTTGTGGAGATAAAACATCTACGTTGCAGAGCGAACAGAGTCAGTGGTAGATTCACGTTGCTGTTTGTCAGAGGTGAGATGTCCAAAAACCAGGAAATAAGACTCCAACTCCTGCCGTCTGAAGCTACTTTCTCCTCCAGCGGACTTCTCCGTTTTCAAACAGGGTCACCGGATCTTTTTCTTCTCCAGAAAACAACTTAAAGGCATTCCTTCCTGCTAGAGCCTGCTGCAAATGTATTAAACATGTGAAAAAAGTGTAACTTTTAGGGCTAAGAGTGTTTAATTACTTCTACATGATGTGCTTTAACCCTTCCAATAGCCCTCCGTGATTAACTAGAAACCCCAAAACACCTCTCTCCTCCCCCTGGAAGTCATTCTTGGAACTACTTCAGTGGTTGAGAGAGAAAACAGATGAGGATAGAAATAGGTATTTTATTTCAGAAGGTCAGACAGAGGGGTTCAGAGGAAAAAGCGGAGCGATCTATGGCTTCTATACTTGACTCTAGAATTACTTCCAGCATTTTCGTCACAGCCCACTGATGCTTGTCACTTCTAATCAACCCTGAGAGCTTCCTTTTGTACCAGAAGGGTTCAGCAGCGAGTGGACCTTTCAGTCTGCACAAATCCCTTTTTAATTAATTTAAAGCTCTTTTTAAATTAGGGGGGGGGGGGGGGATGCACATAGCGACACTAGAAAAGGTCCTTTTAGTGGTTTTTTTTTATGTTTGTGCAACAAACTTTAAAAATTAACTTCAGCCGCTTGTATCTGTGATCTCATGCTTTTGGTCAAAGCTCGTGACCATAGGTGAGGGTTTCATTAGTTTTGATGGATATTTGTTCAGCTCTTTGGTTTGTCTCCTGGTTGACGGACAGAGCTTCAGAAATAAAGTTAGTGACTTATGCGTCGTCGTTACCACCCGAGTCGTTGGACTAAACTAGAAAACTCACTTTGAACGCGATTTTGGCCAAGATGTGGGAATAGTTCGTTTGATTTGGACCACAAAGATCCTGCAGGATCTTCTCCAAAAACCCAAAGTTACAATTATAAATTCACAACTCAAACGTTTTCTACAAAATGTACTTTATTAATACTTTATTACATTAAAAGCAAAGTATATAAAAAGCCTCTCATTCACTAAGAGTTAACTTACAGAGCATAGTGGCTTTTGCTTCAGAAAACAGAAACAAACCGCTGCTTGTTCAACGTGAAACAGAATAAAAGTCTTCCCCCTGCAGTGACGGAGCTCGACTGCCAGCATCAAAGAACAAACAAACTCCGTCACCAGAAAAATAAAAACAAAGTCTGAGGAGATTTTGTGATGATAAAAAAACACGTTGCTGCTACATTTAGGGTCAAACCTCCAACAGACATGTGGGAAACTCCCATAGTAAAGTGGCAATGTCTCTTTTCTATTAAATAAGTCTTTGAATTTAAATAAAACAGAGAAGCTTGGCTAAAGAAAGCAAGTATTGCACTTAAACACCTCCTAGTACCCTTTAAAATACCCAGCCAGTAAAACCCAGAGAGGAAACGTGGAGCTGAAGCAGCCAAGCTTCGCCCGTAGGAGCTTCTCTTTTCCAGCTGGATGGAGATAAAGATTGAAGGTTGATGCAGAAACGGCTAAATGTTGAAAAACTCAACAATGGAGACCAGATTGGGAGTTCTTCTGGTTGGGGTGTCTGTTTATGGTCCTCCTGGTCTCTTGCTCGGCCTCGTGGACTCCTTAAGAGCGAGGCGTGATCGTCTTACGGCCGCTTGGATCCGATTAGCGACCTCGTCTATATTCAGGAGCAGCGCTGCTTAGCCTCTAAATACCTCCTCATGGGCACGGAGAGCACAGCCCGTGAAAAACAAACACTACAAACGCATTCCACTCTAACATCACATCCACAAACCACAACAAAAGTTCAAAATGTACAAAACTACAAGAAAAAGCCTTCAAATTAAAAGGTGCCGTTTGGAGCTTTTCTACAACATACAGGGTTTGTGTTCTATCCGCCAAAATAAAGTTACCAATACAAAAGCATAATCCTGCATGCATCAGGTCAACTGATGTAATAACTTAACAGTAATATTAAAATCTAAAAGTAAGCGGTACACGACCCTTACGAACAGGAAATAACGGCAACCCAAAAGCCGACACGAGTGTCCATCTTTGATTAGGAGTTTCTGAAGGCGTTGGTGAGTTTCAGACCAAAAACAAAAAATCTCAAGTAGCTTTAAAGTGTCCGAGTGGAGTTTGGTGGGTCCGTTTCCTTCCTCACGTGTGGTAGAGCTTGTGTTCATACTCGGTGGTGGAGCAGCTGTGAGGCGGAGACGCCGCGTCTCTGAGGATGGGAGCCGGGACGCCGCTGCGGTGCTGATGGTTGTCGGTGAGCGTCAGGTTCAGGAGGCTGGTGCAGGTGGGCAGGTAGACGTGCTGCACGTGCTCCACCTCCGACCGGCACACGGGACACAGCTGGAGGGGAAAGACTTTAATTAAAAACAGGCTTATCTCGAGGATCCGGGAAGTTTTTAACCTCCAAACACTTTTAGTTTTGGGGGAGGTGGATGAAAAAGTCAGATACGCGCACACAAGAAGCTCCTGAGCTAACGGACAGATTAGCCAGGCTGCTGTAATCCCTTTATGTCCGACACACACACACACACACCTGATTAAGCGAGGGGACAACCAGGTCAGAGCAGCGAGGCTCTAGATGTTTAACGGCCAGAACAGAAGTATAATTAGAATCAGAGAATATGGGGTGACGGTGGCACAAGAGTTAAATGCTCGCCCCGTAATCAGAAGGTTGCAGGTTCGAGCCCCGCTCAATCTGTCGTTGTTGTGTCCTTGGGCAAGACACTTAACCCACGTTGCCTGCTGGTGGTGGTCGGAGGGACCGGTGGCGCCTGTGCTCGGCAGCTTCGCCTCAGTCAGTGCGCCCCAGGGCAGCTGTGGCTACATCGTAGCTCATCGCCACCAGCGTGTGAATGTGTGTGTGAATGGGTGAATGACTGGTTGTGTTGTAAAGCGCCTTGGGGGGTTTCAGGACTCTAGAAGGCGCTATATCAAATACAGACCATTTACCATCTACCATCTACAAGTCCTTCACAAAAAATTAGCATATTTTATCCGACCAATAAAAGAAAAGTATTTTTACTACAAAAAAAAGTCAACCTTCAATTAATTATGTTCATTTATGCACTCAATACTTGGTCAGGAATCCTTTTGCAGAAATGACTGCTTCAATGCGGCGTGGCATGGAGACATCAGCCTGTGGCACTGCTGAGGTGTTATGGAGGCCCAGGATGCTTCGATAGCGGCTTAAGCTCACCCAGAGTGTTGGCTCTTGTGTCTCTCAACTTTCTCTCCACAAAATCCCACAGATTCTCTACGGGGTTCTGGTCAGGAGAGTTGGCAGGCCAACTGAGCACAGTAATACCATGGTCAGTAAACCAGTGGTTTTGGCACTGTGAGCAAGTGCCAGGTCGTACAGAAAAAGGAAATCTTAATCTCCATAAAGCTTTTCAGCAGATGGAAGCATGAAGTGCTCCAACATCTCCTGATAGCTAGCTGCACTGACCCTGCCCTTGATAAAACACAGTGGACCAACACCAGCAGCTGGCATGGCACCCCAGACCATCACTGACTGTGGGTACTTGACACTGGACTTCAGGCATTTTGGCTTTTCCCTCTGCCCAGTCTTCCTCCAGACTCTGGCACCTTGATTTCTGAATGACATGCAAAATTTGCTTTCATCCGAAAAAAGTACTTTGGACCACTGAGCAACAGTCCAGTGCTGCTTCTCTGTAGCCCAGGTCAGACGCTTCTGCCGCTGTTTCTGGTTCAAAAGTGGCTTGACCTGGGGAATACGGCACCTGTAGCCCATTTCCTGCACACGCCTGTACACGGTGGCTCTGGATGCTTCTTCTCCAGACTCAGTCCTCTGCTTCCGCAGGTCCCCCAAGGTCTGGAATCGGTCCATCTCCACAATCTTCCTCAGGGTCCGGTCACCTCTTCTGGTTGTGCAGCATTTTCTGTCACACTTTTTCCTTCCCACTGAGGTACCTTGATACAGCACTCTAGGAACAGCCTATTCATTCAGAAATGTCTTTCTGTGTCTTACCCTCTTGCTTGAGGGTGTCAATGATGGCCTCCTGGACAGCAGTCAGGTCGGCAGTCTTACCCACGATTGCGGTTTTGAGTAATGAACCAGGCTGGGAGTTTTTAAAAGCCTCAGGAATCTTTTGCAGGTGTTTAGAGTTAATTAGTTGATTCAGATGATTAGGTTAATAACTCGTTTAGAGAACATTTTCATGATATGCTAAATTTTTGAGACAGGACTTTTGGGTTTTCATGAGCTGTACGCCAAAATACTCATTAGAAACAAAAGGCTTGAACTACTTCAGTTGTGTGTAATGAATCTAATATATATGAAATTCTGATGTTTATCAGTACATTACAGAAAATAATGCAGATTTTTTTCAGAAGGACCTGTATAAGTTGTTTTGTAACCTGGCGTTCTCACCTCCAGCTGACTGGCGCAGCTCTGGCAGCACACCATGTGACCGCAGGGGCAGAAGGCGGCGTCGATCTCCTCCTCGCAGCACAGCATGCAGAGCAGCGCCTCCCGGAGCTTCTGCAGCCTCTCCTGCAGAGTCCGGCTCTGCTGGCAGCTGCTACAGTTCAGCTCCACGTCCCGCCGGCTGTCCCGGCTTGGGGATCGCGAGGGAGGGGAGCGCTCACCGCTCTCGGAGTGCGGCGCCAAGTCCACAACGCCCGCGTTGTAGAGCATGCGGCGGGCGTGGTCGTACACCTCCTTGGAGGTGCGTCTGATGTCGAAAATGTATTTCTTGCCCACATTGATGTTTTCGTTGAGGAAGAGCGACGCCAGGTGGCCCTTAAAGTCTCTGCTGTACTGCATCATCACGGCGTTTGTGACCGTGTCACACCTGGGGAGGAAAACACCTGATTGGACTCGTTGTTTAAGCACATCAGCATGTTTTCTCAGTACAACGGTAAAAAAAGCAGCAGGTTAATGTTCAACACACTAAACGGAGCGGAACTCGCTTTTACGGAGCACGCTCCTCGTGTTTTCCAGCATCTGGGATTATTTTTTGGCTTGAGCCGAATAATCTGTGTAGGTTAAAGACCTAAAAGCTGGGCTGTACCTGTAGAAGGCGTGGGTCTCCGTGATGGCCCGGTACAGACCACTCGCTGCCCGGTTACTGATCAGCTTGAACAAAAGCACGACGCTGTCATTCGTGTCCTTGGTAACCGTCAGGTAGACGCTTTTCCCCGACTGGGTGGCGATCTGGATGATGGGATAGCTCACTCTAAAAAAAAGGGACGGTTCTCGTTATTAATCGATATTAAAGCCATTTCAGTCAAACTCTCATCGAGCTTACCTGTTGACTAAAGAGAAGTCCTCCTTACACACGGCGATCCCCTCGGGGCCGACGCCGATGGCGAGCCGCTGAGCGTTGGCGTCGCGAGCCCAGTGCCACTCCACGCCGTAGTGCTCCAGGGAGGAGACCAGCTGCAGGGCCTGGTACTCCACCGAGGCCTGGCTCGACCCTTCCAACGCCTTGTGTCTGGAAACGATGCTGCAGGAGGAACGCCACAGCTCAGTGAACCTCGGCGTGGTCGGGTTACATTAAAGACCAGAAATCCTACAGGAAGTGGAGCGTTGCTTTAAAAACTAAACTTTCTGATTGCAGAGGCTGCTTTCTGGGGAAAGGGTGGAGTGTTTTGTTTAGAGATCTTCGATAAAGCAGCTCTGTCACGCTCGTTTTGTTTAGAGATGATCAGCTGATCGCCCTGGCAACAAAACTATGTAAACAAACACGTATCTGATCTCCAGTCGGCTGATTAAAGCTCGTTTAGCGATTCGCAGCGAGACCGCGAGGCTGTCTGCTGTAGATCTGACCCAAGTGTCACACTTCCTGTTGACCAGCGGCGGCGTCCGTGAGGAGGGGGGTGTACCTGCTGACGGTGTCGGCGCTGGGCTCCTCTCCACACAGGTCTGAGTACCAGTACCGGGCCGTGTTCTGGTTGTAGTCGCCGAACTCCGCCTGTGCCAGCAGAGCGCTCAGCTCCTCCGCCTGCTCCGAGCCCATGTGCAGGTGACCGTGCTGGAGGTCCTCCTTCACGTGCATGAAGAACAGGTGTCTAGGAAAGAGGACGAACGCAAACGTGGTTCATCTGTAAAACACACTCACAGCTGAGCCTCCCAGCAGACGTTCGTTCACCTGATTCACCCTTCATCACACCTGAGAGGAGTTCTTTGAGGAGGACTCGCCTGGTAAACAAACGCTCGCCGTTTACCGGAGTAACTGTTTTTGTTTGGGCTGAGCGATTACAAAGAGAACGCCGGGTTCTGGTGTGGTCAAGAAAAACATCTAGCTTTTCATGAAAACATGGCCGTTCCCATTGTTTTTACGGAGATGAGAGGACCCCCCCGGCAGCAGCAGGAGACGATACGTGAACGGCAGCAACACCCTGGATGACTCAATCCTTACATCACTGGGAGCTGAAATGACCCAAGACTTCTTCACCTCAGCTGACCGACGACAAACTAAAATCATGTTGTTTGTGTCCACCTGGACGGTGGCTTCTTCTACCTTCTACTGGTGAATCTTCCGTTTCTACCCCGTTGTCATGTAGCGAGTCATCTCACAGGACTAACAGCCTCGTGTCTTGTGATGGCGTGTTTTTGTTGCTTCGGAGGGCAACAACACAGACACGCCTCGCCCGACTTGCGTTCTCAGCACCTCTGGAGCATCAACAGAATCTGAGAGGCAACAAAAGCAACGTGGGTCTGCAGCCAGACGCCAAGAACCGAGCCCCGCAGCCGGCGAGCCTCGGGCAAAACAACCCGGGCTTTGATATGGTGTTACCCCCCCCCCCCCCACACACACACACACACACGCTGAGGTCTATTGTGTCAGGCCCAGCAGGCACTGCTTGTCAGCTACCTGCCTGACGCACACAATAGCGCTAACCTGGCAGGAAGTTTACTACAGGTCGTTGGGGAGAGGTTACTACAGGGCAAACGGTGGAGGTTACTCTAGTTCACGTGGAGACCGGCTGAAAGGCAGAAATGCACCTTTTTAACCCTTTTAGACACCTGAGTGAAAACGTCTCCTAACGAGGCACGCGGCAGGTCGACGCGTCCTGAAACCAGAACTCCAGACCCCCCCGACGGCGGTTCCTGCTCCACGTCTCACACAAAAGCCTCTCCGGTATCAAATATTCAAAACGGCGTCGGCTCCAGACGCGGAACAAGTTCTCCCACTTCAGCTCCGGTTATGTCACGGAGCTCGGCGCAGCAACAAGAAGCTGTTATGATCAAAACAACACGGCTGGTGCTTTATCACTCTGGCTGCTGTAACAAACAGAGCTGGTGCTGCCTCAGCTGGGTTCGGACACACATCGCTCCTCAGAACCAGAATCTTTGACATTAACTTAAGAAAACAAAGTAAAAATGCAAGATTTTGTTTTTTAGAGTTTGAACACTTGAAACTAAAACTTAGGTTTGGGTTCTTTATATTTTTACGCCAACATGTCACTGGTAACGGATGCCTGGCCTTTATGAGGGGTACCGGGCGGCGTGCACGTACAGACGTTTGGTTCAGAGTGGTTTCTGGCGCCGTTTCTCTTCACTTTCACGTGAGCGGACCGTAGAAGACCCGGTTACGTTCGCACAGGGACTGAATTTAAACAGCTGTTGAATTTTTATTTTATCTCAGCAAAAGAATTTTAACTTTTAACCAAAGTTTAACAATAAAGCGACCGAGTGTTAAAGCTGCTTTCCGAAGTTTTCCCCTTTCAGAAATGATGTACGATTTTTCAGAAATCCGTAAAAGTGATCGTCTCATCATGTACTTTGATATAATATAAGCAATAGGTCTTTTTTTTTTTTGCTAAACACGCCCCCTGCCTGGTAGAGCTCCGTGCAAAAGGAAACTGAGCGCCGACCAGAACTAACCAATAGCGTTAGACTACCGCTTAGATGCTTCAAATTTAAGGAATACCTCGGCTGATGCAGAGTTGATGAACTTTTCACAGACAAGAAAGTCTCTAAAATATAAATATATGAAAACACAACATGACATGAGAATAATACTCGTAAAACAGCGTGTTTTAGCGGTTTGTCGGCTACAGAAGCACGTTTATAAACAGAAACGTGAAGTCGCCATCTTAAAAAAACTGAGCAACAGACCTTTTGTGTGATACGCTTGTCAGCCACTAGATGGTGCCAGAAGAAGAAAGAGAAAGAGAAATACTCCGGAAAGAAGCTTCATAGTGGGTAAATAAAACGTTTTAGAGCTTTTATTAAGTCGACGTTTTTCAGGAACTTGGGTCGTTTCTCAGTTTGCGTCGTCTGAACTTGTGTACTCACGTTGGCCCAAGTACTGTTCCAGTCTTAAGTACACTTTTATGCAAGTACACTCAGAGTTCCTGGATGTGTTCTGGCTCCGCCCACTGTATCGAGGATGCATCTTTCTGTGGACGTGGGCTAGGCATCCCATAATACATAGCGTCGGAAAGTGCTATAGCTGATAACTGTAGTGTTTCTATCAGAAATGCAATTGAATATATAAAGTTGGCTGTTATTGCAATGATTGTGTGTAAGCTGTAAAATCTGTGTGCATTTGTTTTTTACTCTTCTATAAAGAAGCTAATCCACTACAAAATAAAAGCACCTCAGATCTGTTATGATGAAAAATAAACTTTTGCCTTCATTTAACTGCAGGAAATGCTGGTATTTCATTTAAAAAAATGGACCAAATAAAAACATTTATTCGTAGTTATTTTGTTATTTAAAGGACAAACAAGACTTTATCTTTATGCCAGTTGCCTTCGGTGCAGATCTGCTCCACACGCTTCGTCGTCCTGTACTCTAGACTTTCTGGTGTACTAGCCAAGATCGTACTTGTCAAGTACACAAGAACGTACTGCCGTCATAAATGCACCTGCACAGGGCTGCCCGTGGATGTGCCTGAGTTTTAAAGAGGTGCATCTCCTAGATCAACCCCTCGTGTTTTATACTAAACAGACTCGGCTTAAACCATTTCCATGCAGGAACACATGAACACACACGGTGTGTGTTCAGTAACTCACTCGGACCGTCGCACGCGTCTCTCCGGAGTTGTGTGTACTTCTGAAGTCTCGGCATCGCCTTGTTCTCTGTGCAGCCTCAATGGCAGGAAGTCTGTGTTGAGACTGAAGTTCGGTGGCCTACTTTTCCTGCATCACACCGTTTCTCCTTTAAAGGGATGACCTATAACCAAAGCTTTAAGAGGATTACTCTTGTGAAGTTGTGTGCAGGTAGTCGGGACTTGTGCAGGACACCGAGCGCTTTGGTTTGGTTTAGATTTGAATATTTTTATCAGTTTTGAGCAAAACTTTTTTAACAAAGCAGAAGCTCACGATTCCATCCACCTAGAGAAGTGTTTCTGCTCCAGTCAGAGAGGAACTAAACATCCCCGCACACTGAAACTCGACACCGCTGCCTAGCACGGTTTCAGCTCCACTCTTAACAATGCGGTTTGTGAGCTAGTCAGATAACAGCCTGCCACAAGCTATGCGCTGGGGTTACTCTCAGTCAGTGACCTGCAGTAAACTTCGCTCAACACCTTCTTCCAGGCGGGCTGGAGCTGAAGCTCATCTTATAAAAGCAAAGTAGCAGCGCATTAATTCCAGGCACCAAGTGCAACACATGTCCTGCTGGACCGAAAGCTACGAGGCGATAAAACAAAAGGCCGTTTGTGTGCTAAACTCGGCGGGTCGCGGGCTGGTGAAACAGCAGTTATGGGCCAGCATCAGCTCCCAGTTCAGGCTCTGAATAAAGAGAACGGCCTCCAATTTGGGACAAAGGTTAACAAACACGTTAGCAGGTGAAATCCTGTCCGTTTAGAAGCAAAACGTGCTGCTAATCGTGAATTCAGACCCGCAGGCATCAAACTAGTGTGTGAGCAGAATAAATACTTTAGTTTTTTGGGGGGGAAACGAGCTTCTTAAGGTGTTTTGGGTTGGTTTCACCTTAAGAAAGTGACTTGTTCCCCTTAGCTGGCAGGAACACTCACTAGATCGATTGTCCCGTCACAAGACCGGCGCACACAAAGAAAAGCTTTTAATTTGAAAGGTTTTTGTCTCCAGGTCAGCCGGCGAAGTCTTCCTCGAGTGCTGGAGATTATGTAACAGAAGGAGCGGTCACAAAGTGTCAGCGATCAATGTAACGCAGTATTTTTAGACCGCAGCTGTTGCTTTTGTCACGGTCGTGCCGTGGAAGTCATTTTCCGGACGGTTTCTGGCAGATGGATTAAATCCGAGTTTGGATTTAAGTGAAAAACAAGCAGTTTTGTGTTCAAGCCCATAGCTAATCCACTCTCCTCCCGAGGAACCCCACGTTTGCCTCATCAGAATGTTAAAGAGGACCTCTAATGAAGGGAAACTAATTCGCTCGTTTAAAGCTGAACCCCGTCAGAGCAGCGAGTTAAACGCTGCAGATCAGCGGGTCTGAGCTTTCACATCTGCTCGTTCGTTCCAGGTGCCTCAACGTGTACACGACGAGTCCTAAAATTATCTGAACGAGGCCAGAAAATCCTCCAGAAATTCAGGATAAACTGGAAAGAGTTGTGGAGAAAACTGATGCGAGTCAAATTAAAAATCTGCGCCTCTGGCTGGTCCCCGTCAGTCGGCTCCCAGCTGTAGAACGCTGAGCAGCAACCCCGTCAGCAGTCGCCGCTTCACTTGTGAGCTTCAACGCACCGCGACATCCTCAAAGAAGAGACGGCAGAAAAAAAACATGCTTTTATTTTATTAAAGTGTTTTGAGCTACGAGATGAAATACAGATTATTTCATTTATACTAGAGGTCAGAGCTCAGGCAGCCATCTAAAAATGGAGCCTGGAAACGAGAGAGACCGAAGCGTGGAGCCACACATCTCAGATGGGCGAGTATTATGGGGTGTAAACAGCTTTATTGTATCAAGTGTTTTAAATAACTAGAATTTTAATCCTAATTCAGTCAGAGCCGACCTGCGAGGTTGCTGGGAGTGAAACCTTACGTGGCAACGGCTTATGTAAGCAGCTCTGTGCCAGATCAGAGGCTCACATCATGGAGCCTATAGGAAGGGTCCTCGCCAACGGGGACCATCAGCGTTCACGCACGCAGTCAAAACAATAAAACGCATCATAAACGGCCGTCAGGCTGTCACCGTGAGTCACATCTGCCCTCAGACCGGCTCCAGGGGCCAAACTGGGTGAAAGGTGACGGCGCCGTCACTTTAATAACTACAGCTCCACATGCCTTCCATCCCTTATCTTTATCTCACCTTTTCATGACTCTGAGACCTCCCCCTCACACACACACACACACACACACACACACACACACACACACACACACACACACACACACACACACACACACACACACACACACACACACACACACACACACACACACACACACACACACACACCTCAGCCAACAGCTGCTGTCTGTAGATAACCCCGTATAATCTACTGGAGGTCAGAGCTCAGGCAGCCAACTGCTCTCTGCTCCACCACTCGGCTTTCACTTTCCACTTCAAAAGGCAGACAAAAGGAAAAGAGACAGGACCTTCTCTGAGTTTCAAGTGAAAGGTGAGAGCAGTGGAGCATCTTGGCGCGAGCGGCTACGTTTGTGCCCAATTATCGACGTCCTGCAGATGCAAAAGTCCCGGAGCACACTCCGGCTCTCCCGCCGCGGCCTCACCAGGTGTGAAAACGCAGCTTCATACCGCGACCCACGTGGCGGCGGGAGTCCAGATCCGGACTTCCTTCCTGCAGCTGCCAGCCTTTCAGGTGGCAAATAAAAATTAAAGACTCAATAATAGGAAACGCAAGCGGCGTCCCAAGGCAGTTACAAATTTAGTTGTGTCACAAGTGTGTGTTACTCACTTTCCTCATGAAAGCCAAACCACTCAGGAGGAAGAAATAATAATACCTGACTGGCCTGTTTCCAACCCAAGCTGTCAGGCAGGGAGGGCTTTTTATTTCAAACCGAAACAGAGTCAATGGGAGTGGAGATGCCACACAGACCACTGGGTCCCCTGGTGGAGGGGGTGGGGCACGGTGGGAGCAACCGATCACATTTCCAGCTGGGTGCTCCAGCAGTATGACCTATAGTAACCCAGGAAGGCTTGACAAAGAGGTTACTAAAGGGCATTTCCACTGCAGTGGAAACAAAGTGATCAGGTTTTGGGTTGGGCGATCTCCCTCTCTCTCTCTCCCTCCCTCTGACACAACATCAATGTACATAAAAGCCAGTTTAGCTCAGCGTATCATCTGATCTGCGTCTTTTAGACACATGCCTTCTATTTCAGATGGATGTTTTGAGTCAAATGGAGGCAAATCAGTGACGAAAGGTCAGGTACCTCGTCTGCTCCTGCAGGATGAGATGGGGCTCAACGAAAAACTTGACCCGCAGCCTCAGCCGACAGGGCGTCACGTTATCCATCTGCTGGCAGATGCGATTCCTCAGGTTCAGCCACAAGCTCTCTCCTTTGCTGCCCGTGAACTGCAGCCCAAAGTAGTCCACTTCGATTATGCCCAACTTTCTGCAAACCTGAGAGGTGAATGAAACCGCTGATTAGGGTGGAGGTTAAACAAAATAATCAACTGTGTAACAAATGCATATTTTGCATGTTTAAATTCACAGAGTAGATTGGTTTACTGACAGGAAATCCTGGGTGCAGCAACTTGGGGAAGTGGCACGCGTACAAGAATAATACTATTTATTACAGTAAAGCAGAGATTTCCTGTGGGGGAAAAAGGTTTAAAACAGAAAGTCTGTGCACTGTTTGCACAGAAGCCAGGAGGAATGCAAATGTACAGGGATGAACTTTAGTAACCCCAGACAAAGCCACCGCTCTCTGATGGTGCAGAAAACCAGGAGCTTTCCCTTTAATGCGTTCAAACTTCTATGCACACACAAAAAGTCACCATATCAACCATGAAACCCGCCGTTAGTGTTTAATTATTACAAATAAATGTTTCCAAGAGCCTCACAGACAGTGCTGCATGTTTGGATTAACGCTTTTGAGGGTTAAACAACAAATAAAGCTATTTTAACACCATGGAAATGAAGCTAAATAACAATTAGGCTAATTTGTGCAGAAACTAGCTTACCGATGCTATGTTTAACTTTTAATTTAGCGGCAAATGTAATGGAATTAAGTTTAACGCGGATGAGTATTTGAAGTTTTATGACCCAGTGAACGTTTTACTAATTTATGACACCATGACGGCCACTTAAACAACAAAATAAGAAAACGAGCGAACAAAGCGCGTTTCATGCGCCTACCTTATTCAGACAGTCTTCACCGTTCGCCTTCGCATCAACTTCCACTTCCATCACCACCGAATCCGGACGAGTAACGTGGCAGAGCATTTTGGCTGCTGTGAATCTTTGGTGTGCCACGTTTAACATAAGAACAACTTTTCTCTTGCCTTCTTTTAAAACCCTCTACATCGAGCCTTCATCACTTTCTACCGCCAGCTCACTCCGTGCTTTCAATCTGCTTCCACCAGCTGTACATCAAAAAAATAACCTACGTAGCACCGCCTACTTAAATCTGTCCAATCACAGAGGGTTTAACACACTCGCTGGTAATTTTTAACCAATCGGAAGTCGTATTACATGCTAGTGTTGTGGTTGTTCTCCTGTTGCTTGAAGCGCGGAGAAGCCAACACCGCCCTCTTGTGGTCGTTCTGTTTCCTGCCTCTAGAGTCTTTTTACACACCTGAAATAAATGAATTTGATATTTCTACCGCCGCTAGAAGAACGCAGGTAAGTGCAACGGCCTGTTTCCTGCTCTTTCGTCGCTACGTTATTATTTATATATGTGAACGCACACCATAACAGCGAGAGTACTTTCTGCTTCACCTTCTTTTGCTCTCTAAAGCTTTCAATGAATTTTTTATATTAGCAGCTTCAACTTTTCCACAGAATCGTGCTTCTGTTACACGATAAATTACTTTGGACTCATCATTTATCCTCAGACTTTATAAAAGTCCTTTCTTGCATGTAATTGGAGAGCTATTATGCAGCTTATGTTTTTGTTGAAGCTTTTTTTATGCTTTATTTTTCCAGAGGCCTCCACACAGAGTCAACATTTCAGCACATATTCCAGCTCATTGCATCCCCAACAGGTACTGTTCTATCATATATAATTCAGCAGTGCAGCATTGTGATGAACGCATTCAGGGCAGGGAATGTGAAGAAAACCACAGCTTTTTTCTTTAACCAGGAATGGTGTTCAGCCAAGCTTATCATTTGTTTGCAAAGGACAATTTAGAGCATGTCCCTCCATAATTCATGTTGCATACCATTCAGAGGGAAAGCAGGGAAAAAAAAACAATCGTTTTAAGGCTCTGCTTTATACATGGGGATTGAGGGATACAAAGCAGTTTTAGCTAGCACCCCCTAGTGTCCATTAGTAAAACCAAAGTGAAACTTATCCTTGCTGCACATTTGTCGTTTAACACCTTAATCTAACTTCTGAAATGTCTCCTCAGCCTTCATTAGTTTCTACAGGAGTAGTTTGTCACTAATTCAAACAAATCAGCTGTGTTCACAATCTAAAACATACAGGAAAAGTGCTGGAAGCAGACTGTTAGCTCCACTTTAGTAAGTCTCAGGCCTAGTCCTCACGTAGCCGGGTTTTTTTAAAAACGAATATCCGCCCCTCCAAAAACTTGCATCCACACCACCTCATTTAAAAAAAAACTGTCCACACGTACCCGGATAAATACGTTGTTAAGGACATGCCAGACCTGTAGGCGGCAGTACTTCCCCCGTTCTTAACCTCGTCCTTCGTCTGTGGTCTTCCGCAAGGAGCAGTAATTCCGCTTGCAAAAACAAACAAGCAAAAAGCGCTTGGACAATTGATAAAGCGAGCGCAGCTCTGATGGCATCCATGCTGTCGGCTAGTGTAAACACAGGTCGCACACGTGATGTCAGCATTTTTTTGTCGTGGAAAGTGACGTTGCAGACCTTAAAACTCCGGTTTTGTCCGTCCACACGCAGACACCCAAAACGGAGAAAACGCAGATCTTCACTTTGGCCGGAGTTTTTAAAAAGATCCGTTTTCGTGTGAAAAAACTCCGTTTTCGTGTGGATGAGAGGCCAAAACGTAGAAAAATATCTACGTTTTGGCAGATCCCCGGCTACATGTGGACAGGGCCTAAAAGGGACCGGACTGGCACTCTGAAGTTGCAAGTGCGTTATTCTGGCCTCAGGGGCGATGGGGTCTGAGTTACATTTCATCAACCCAGTAAAGGGTCGTTCTAGCACACACTGGCTCAAGAAAACAATTAAAAATTTGAAAAAGTTGCACAATATGCCTTTTAAATAGTAAACAGATGCTTTTATTTTGGTTTTTATCAGGTGTGGAAATCAAATCTTTTTGGTCTTTCAGGAATCCTGGGTGCAAATATTGGCAGAGCATGATGATTTCATTTGGTGCCAATTCTGGTTAATGATCCATCCAGCTAGTCCAATAAGGGTCATGAAGTGTTACTATGCCCTAGTTCACAGAAGTAAACAGACGGTGGCATGTTTGCAGCCAGCTGTGTGATGTGTCACATCAAGTCCATTTTGTGCAAACATGAACAAAGGTTTAGCAAAATCCCAAGTTTGGAATGATGTTGTGTTTGTAATGTTTTTATGGTTAAGGTTGAAAATGACACTTCTAAGTCAAATCTGAGTTTTATTTCAGTTTTAGTCAAATAGCTCACAACTAAACACCTGCAGCTGTTGCATACTTAACAAGAATTAACTTAAATAATTCACTCTCAATTTCCAGAAGTTAAAATCTTGAACCTTAAAATCTTTCTTACTAAACTGGAATAATGTAAATCTATAAGTAGGCGTTCATATTCCTAGAAAATAAACAGAACCCTGCACATTAAGTCAGCTGTTGCACGCGAGTGAATAGGTCGGCCGACGCTGAGTCAGTACAGTGTGCTGTCTTTATGCCGGAGGTGGTGTAAGTGTGCAGCAGACTGCGTGGAGGCGACGTGAAGCTGCAACTGTAGAGCCATAAATGAACCCAACAGCCACCTTTGACCTGGAGCTGTGCTGGATGAGCACACGGCCACGCTTGCACGTACGGTCACGGAGCCTGCCGGGCGCCGGGCCAGAGGTCGGGTTAAACTAATAGTATGTCGGACCTTTTTGTTTGCTCTGATTTAAATAGCACAAGTGGGTAAACAACAAACAAAAAATAAATGTTTAGTTTCATTTTAATGGTTTCTTGTGATATAACGTTTTTATGTCCACTAAACTGGTTTTAATGTTTAACATTTCCAAGTAGATCTCCCTAAATGTACTTTTAACCATTTCAGAAGTTGGTCTCAAATCGGCTACAAGTGTTTGCAGTGGCGCCTCCAGACATTTCTCATGGGGGGGCCATGGCCCCCCGTCCACTCATCACCGAATGTCTGAAAGTTTTTTTTAATCAATCAAATCTTTTATTAACTTGAATTATTGTCAAGATTCAAAAGGATGTATCCAGACCATTTTTAATTCTTCATTGATTTAGCTTGCACCTCACATTCAGTCTCAGAATTATTTACCTTTGCTTTATTTGTTTTATTAGCGGATTACAGCTTCCACCAGAGTTTAAAGGAGCTTCTAGAGTTAGCTTCAGTCCATTTTTAACAGCTGCTGATGGTAAAGTGAGTTTCTACTTGAAGCAAAAGTAAACCACAATTACCGCTTTCTCTGGAACAGAACACTCATTGTTTCTCAGCTCTAGTCTTTTATGTAAAGCCTCTCAAGATACAAATTGCGAGGTGCTTCACAAAAACAATTTGCAAAAAAAAAAAAAATCTTTTTTATATTCAAGAGGAAAATCTGCTGAAGTTTGTTTGTGTGCAATCAATGAAAATGTAAAAAGTTTGGTATCCGACAGAGAAACGTCCGTTTTTCCACATCGTGCATCAACACAATAATCAAAGATAAGAGCCTAATTTCTTCTGTGTAAAATGCACAAAACACATCTTACAGGAGCAACTCGGAGAGGCTAGTTTTTAAACATCTAGCTCCTTTTTGATGTTTATTTTTGGTGACATCTGGGTTCTTGCACACACAGACCGTTTGCAGGCCTCTGGTTTTCAGCGAGGTATAACATCATGCAATGTGGCATCACTTCCCTCTGAGGCAAGTCACTGCTCACTCAACTGGAGTGTGAACACATAACCGTGTGTGTGTGTGTGTGTGTGTGTGTGTGTGTACACATGACATCACAGTGTCATTGCTGCCTAACTCCAAAGCTGTGCCTCTTGAAGCAGACCATGCCAGGAAGCACCGTGTTAGCAGAGCTGTGACAGTTGTTGTTGTGAAAATCTCGATTTACTCCCATTGAACAAGAAGAAAAGCTACACTGGGCGGCTCATTTCTGAACTATGATAAGAGGTCAAAGGGGAAGCTGTTCCTCTGGATCTGAAGAGAACCGTCAACCATGGTCAACACATGCAGACGACCAGTCCTCGTCGTCTGGAAGCCCGTCTGATGGGGACTCGATTTCGGATGTAGAAGCAGAATGTGAGATGAAGAGGAGTCAAAGGTTCAGCGGGTCCTTGTGCTTCGGGGAGGACCAGCAGCTACATCCAAAGAACGAGCGTGAAGGAGAAACCCCAGTCACAGAGGTGGTTGAAGTAGCGACAGATGGCACACGAGTGCAGAAAAACCACATTTGTGTCACGAATCAGCCAAGGCCGAGTTTACTCGGACCTCGGCAGTTATGGCTGGCGGTGACGCGATGCCTTTCCCTCCGATGGCTGACCGTCAGCAGACAAGCTAACAGGAAATTAACCCCCCAGGTAGATCTGAACCAATCGGAGGACACCTCATTGTCCATCAGCTCTGACTCGACCAATGAGAGCTCTACGTATTCATCTTCCTCGGACGATAAAGACGGCTCTTTGCTGATTCACGAAGAGAAGGACGTCAGCAGCAGAGCGGTCAAACGCGTCCCACCCGCCCGTCGAGGAATTTCTCATTCATCCCCAAGATTACCGACAGCAAGACAAGCGACAGACTTGGTGCTGGCTTCCATGATCCTGGAGAGAGACATGTTCCTGAGAATCGAGCTGGTAGACTCCGGCGGGGAAGCGGGTGACTACCGAGCAGAGTGGAGGTTATCAGAGAGAACTAAAGAGCTGGCAGAGGGAGTCTGGACCTCTCAGAAACCGACAGATTGACCTTTTTTGTTTCGTTTCCTTTGAAGTGAAAGACTTGACATCTTGTTCCCTTGCAGTCAGATTGCACACTGACTCATAATCATCTTATCTTAGCTGCTGAGACTGCTGATTACAGACGACCCAGTTTCCATTCAGTCATCAGTGAAATGAGTTTTGCATGAGCTCTGCATTTGAATATAGATTCAAATCGCTGCCGACAACCAATTAAAACGCTTCTTTTGGTGACAGCGCTGCAGTTTAAAGGTTTCTTTGCATTTTTTGCATCTTTAAACATTTTATTCGTCAGATCTAAAACAAAAAGTCGAGTTTCTTTTATGTAAAAAAATATTTTCTTGTGTTTGACAAAAGATATTTCTGAATTAAATCATGCTAGGGAACCATGTTTGTTTTATGACGGAACATTAAAAATCATCTTAAAAGCTGGAAGCTCTCAAACGTCCACATTTGGATGTTTTCGGTATTTTTGATAATAATAAAAATGTTTAATTCTTCTTTTTTATGTTTATTGAAATAAACTTATTTTAACATCTCAGATGTTTGGAGCACATTTTAAGCTAATACACTTGTTATTGCTTTGCAGATCAGAGTTTACATGCATGCCTGCAGATGGTCACTATTTTCCACTTGCATGC